TTCATATGTTCAGGATCCCATCGCTTGTCACAATCTAGAAAAAAACCTTTTTTTTTAATCAAGCGACTTATTTTACTCATTGTTTATTATCTTTTCACTGATAATTTTTCTAACAAGACAATTCTTTCTTTTCTCTAAAAAATTCAATTATTTATAGAAAGTCTGTTAACTCAGATCGACCGAAACAATTAACTGTTTCCAATCCTTACATACAGAATAAAAATGATTTAAGCAGTTCACTACAGTTAATCGACAACAGTTTCACTGAAATCAATGAATCAATTGTTGGCGATATTTCTGTTCAATTGAATAATAATAATCCTAAGAATAAACTGGATAAAATGGTCACTGAAGAAGAAGAAGAAGATGATACTGTTTTCCCAATGGATTAGAAGAATTTGATTGATTCTATTCTTTGTTCGTTTATTTGAAACAAGATAGCGATAACAGCGCAGCCACGATTGAATATAATATTGATACTAGTTATTTGTATTAATTGAGGGTTGTTGCACTTCCTTTTTATTTAATAAATTAAATATGATAACAAACATTTTACATCTTTGTAGTACCTATTTGCCTTCAGAAATCTTATCAGTTTTTGCATTCTTCCATAATATATGTACATGGCTTAAGAAAATAGAATACACAAACTGCTGAATAATGATATGTACATTCATATATATTCTCCGGTCGTGATGAAAACACATATTACATGCATCAATCTATGCATACGCAACATATTCTTTTACTATTGTGTTTCTTTAGTTAACAGAAACATAAATAGATGTTCACCACTGGCCTATAATTACCCGTTTTTATGGTGAAATATAACTCAATCGAACAGTTTAATCTTTTTCTATATGTATTTCATGTATTTTCATTTCTTTTATAAAAATCATGATATATAGTAAAATTTAATTGGTAAACCCGATAATTAAGTAGTTAGCAGTCATACTCCTTTCACTTAGTTTTGTTGAGTGATCTAACATATTTACCATTTATAAGTGTATTTATATACAATGTTTCCAATGTTCAGTAAGTATCCTATATCTAACGATTTCGTCCACTTTTTGCTCATTTAGTGGGTGAGTGATGCACATCGGAATGTAAGTTTTACCGAACGGTTTCATTTCAAGAGTCTAGAGTTATCCTCAATCGTTCACTATGTATATGACACTATGGCTCAGCCTACTACGCCGGATAGAAAACACAAATATCAAGGAGTTTAGGGCTTAAATTAAAATCCATGATCAAAGATACACTATAATATTCGAGTGTTTGAACTACTTACAGATTATTCGACGTTACAACGAATAGACGTTATAAACTGTATGTTTAAATTGATAGACAATAACATTATGTATTGAATATCAGTAATTAACGTAGTATAATACATAAAAGAAAGAAAAATTCAATTAGAAACCACATGGCAGAATTACTATAATGATAAAAACAACATTTCAGCGTACGATTCCTTTTAAGATGTTGTTTAAATGATATTCAAAAATTCTAAAGGAAATTGCCAAGATTCAAATGATGTGATATAGGAAAATTATTTTTAAGGTAGATAAGTGAACTATGAAAAGGTAACAAATAAGTAAAAAAACGATTTCAAGTATAGGGGTTGTGGAGATTATTAAGTTTTTGATTGAGATCATGAACCGATTGATGTTGGACCACCACCTTTAGAAACCTGGAAGCACTGGACAGCCTTTTCGTCCTATTGTGGGACTCCTCAGCAGTGCGCATCCACGGTCCCGCTTGCGGGATTCGAACCCAGAGCCTTCGGTCTCGCGCGTGAATGCTTAACCAACTGGACCACTGAGCCGGCATCCAATGGTGATAGTGTCTAACATCAACCAATCCACGAAATTGCGCGACCAACTTCAATTGTACTGAGGTAGATACCTGTCTCTACCCGACATGGATTTGCTCCACTGATCACGGCTTCTCACTAGAACTCCGAGGATTCCCTCACGAAGCTAGTCACTAGTGAGCACATGTTGAGTACTAGTATAGGGGTTGTGGAGATTATTAAGTTTTTGATTGAGATCATGAGCCGATTGATGTTACACCACCACCATCCCGCAAGCGGGATCGTCGATGCGCACTGCTGAGGAGTCCCACGATAGGACGAAACGGCCGTCCAGTGCTTCCAGGTTTCTAAAGGTGGTGGTCTAACATCAATGGGTTCATGATCTCAACCAAAACGATTTCAAGTAAATATTTCTCTGTATACAACTCAAAATTTAAATCGTGAATGACGAGCTTTTGTAAGGTAGAGTTGGCTTAGCTGTTTACACCACTGGGAATCTTTAAATGGATTATTTTAAAGAACCAATTTGGAATGGAATATTTCTAATCGACTATATTTTAGGGAATCAAGGATATTATTAGTCGATGTTGTCTTTTACCAAGCGATCTTGGTAAATGTAGAGATATACTGTTTTGGTTAAAAATTAAATAACCTAATATAGGATGTTTGAGTATTTCATTGTAACACAAACTGTCTATAGTTAAAAATGGTCGTGTTCTACCAAAACCCTGACAACTTAAAGTTTCATGACCTACAAATTAAAAATGTATAAAAACCAGTATTTGTTAGCTTTGACAAATTAACTTGATAATCATCTATAGTCTCCTAACCGAAAAGAATATCTCTGAATGCACTATGATTCACATAAATGGCAGATGATCATGTTAGTTTAATCTCATCATATTGTATCAGTATTGTATATGACTGAAGTGATAAATGCGATAAATAATTACTTTTATTGGAATATTTTCAGAAAAGAAGTACAGATAATTCAGTACTATATAAAATTTGCATCAAATAGCTGGTACGTAAACTCAGTATATATTTTCATTATTACTCAGCTAGCTGAAAAATTTGTGCTGTATGAAAGTGGGGAAGCTAGCACTGAATTTATAACACCACTTATATTCTACATTTATATACGTGGTATTTTCAACTACATGAATTGAGTAACTAGCATCATTTGGAAAAACTCAGGAACTTCACGAAACTTTGAAGACTATTTATGAAGAAAATACTGGATCAACTAATTTATAAGCAATGATTCTGAGTTAGGTAAGCCATCAAACCAATGTGTTGATGAAAACAGCAAGCATGTCTTGTGCTTTGTACTTTTTAATCAAGGATTGACTTTCCGGATGGTTGCCGCTCAAATAAACTTAAGGAAATCATATGTGTCCGTTATATGAAACGATCCCAAGTTCTGAGAATGCTTTGTATAATGGAAATGCAGGTTGGATAAGTGTGTCATCACAAATATGGAGTATTTAAAAGAGGAGTAAAACTGGTATACCCTCGGATTTATTAAACAAACTTTTTACGACCTCAGAATACTAACTGAAGAGATTAATGCACTTAGAGACAGTCGGAAAAATCATTTTTCTCCAACACTACTAATCTTTATTCCGACTTTATTGAAAGACTGTAATTTTATAGTAAGATGGACAATCTAGTATCGTAGTAAGCAAAGTCACACTTGTGAATACTCACACGTTAATCATTCGTTTACTTCAATTTATTATCAGCCTTTGGGATTTTTACCTTATTGATAGAATGTCCCTGCGTAGTACCTTGATTGTCATGCCACGTGAAATCAATGCTAAATAGGTATGAGTTTGATAGGTATTATCCGTGGTGTGTCTTCGAATTGCATGCAGTCAGGAGAACTGTACAGTTACAGTTATTGATTTTACTAAATGTAAGTGTAGCAAGTATGGGTGATATGTACATATGTGCGTAACTTGGCTATCAGTTGGGCAGACATGCAAGGACATTCAATGAATTTTTTTATACAGTCACGGACCGCAGTCCAGATGAGGTTAAAATATGTATACTGTCTCTTTTTCTACTGTAAATACACAGATATCATTATCATGGTCAAACAAGTGACCAAAGCAGGTATAAGACATTGGCGCATATTGTTCAATAGTTAGTCAATAAACACAACCTCACACAAAATGGTTGTACATTACAAAATGTATGGCAATGGATTAGAAAATCCCTTGGTCAAGGTTCCTGTTCGTTTAAAAGCCGTGAATGAAATCAATCCCATTATCCAATGTTTTACCTCTCAGCAAGTTGTGAATATTATACTGAAGCAAACTTGATTCACTGAAATGATGTTTTTCCAGTAATGGTCAAGAAAAATAAAAGCGTCCATGTAAAGTTTAATAAGTATATTTGTAGTTCTTTGTTTGCATTCAATTGTTTACATAATATTTTCATGTACGGAACTTCTCTCCATCTCTCAGGGTTTGTTTATGACTCAATAATCAACTCTTCTCGTTACCTAGTATTCCTGACGTCTCTAAGATCTTCTTGCACCCTCTACTTCTATTGAAAAATAAATGAGTTATAAAGAGAAGAGTTATATTTCTGAGAAACTTTCCATTGTGCATAATTACTGTGAATTCGTTAAGCAAATTGGTTTATAACGAATCAAGACTTCAAACAACAACATTAGTTCACTAACACAGAAATGTACTTACTGCTTAAGCCTTGCATACAGTTTACACATGTCATTCAATTTCATATTTTTGTAATTACATAACTCATTTTAACTGAATCATAATGCAAGAAAGGTACCGTGTGACTGTGGGAAAATTTACGGGTTTACAAATGAATTCATAGCCTTATGTGTACATGTACAATAAAATAAAAGATACATGTGACAAAAGTTTTTGATGAAAAGTGGTTTCTGTGTGTGTTAACAAGCGCTAAGATAAGGCAATTTTCAATATTCTACCTAACCTGACTTTATAACAAATCAATGTGTAATGTTTTATAGGATAGCGTAGAACACTTCGAAAGTTAAAACTCAAATAACAATATTGTCCTTATACACTATACATAATGAACAAGTTATTGTTTTGTTTCACTTAATCCTGAGTACGTCCAAGTGTTGACTATTTTTTAACAGTTTCTTCTGATATTTTTGTCAACAATAAGATAATTGCCTTGTTTACATAAGTTAACTTTGAGGTTATTCATCATAAAAGATACCATACTTTTAAGATCGCGTAGAATCGGATAAAACATTATAACTACTTATTGAATTGACATGGGGAAAATTTGTCAGAAAATTGGCTGTCATACTACTTCGACGTTTAACATACATGAAATATGTGTTGATTAATGATGCAACAAACGATTCCATGGTCTTTGCAAGGCTACATATCTAAGAAATGTAAGTGTGGACATGATATTGTGAGTAATCGAACTGTTCATCTAACAAAACTAACTTATTTCGGTATCCGAAGGTTGGATACATTATTATTTAGCCATTATCAATCAAACTTTTCCCGTTCAGCATTAATTTTCTTATTCCAAGTCAAGTGTTTAAGCTAGTGTACATAAATTAAAGCAGAGGTGAATAGTGGTCATCAGTGAAATCCACAACTCGCTTCTCGTCCTATTTGGAACTTATCAGCTTGATGTAACTGCATCCCAAAGTTGATATCCACTCCAGAACTTTACCCAAACTCCATCGTGTTATCCACTTAGCTACTGACCTCAGATAGCCACTAGCTTGTATTTGTGAATTTCTTATTCATTTTTATATTGGTTATCAGTATGGGTCTTGGAGATTGTTGAGTTTTTGGTTGAGATCATGAATAGATCAATGTTAGATCACCATTAAAAACCTTGAAGTACTGGACGGCCGTTCCGTCCTAGTATGGAACTCCTCAGCAGTGCACGCGAGATTCGAACCCAGGACCTTCGGCCTCGCGCGCGAACGCCTAATCTTTAGACCAATGATCCGGCATCTAACGGTGCAAATGTCTAACTTCAACCAATCCACAACATTGTGCGACCATCTTTCAATATCTAAGGTAGATATTTGTCTCTACCTGACATGGATTAGCTACACTGGTAACGGCTTTTCACTAGAACTCCGAGAATTACTTCTCGAAGCTAGTCACTAGTGGGCACGTGGTCATTATCACTATGGGTTGAGATCATGGACGATGGCTAGCAGTGGAATCGAGGTCTGCCGTTTAGTTCGTCTCTGCTTATGATGCTTCTAACTAGAGGCAATATCGAGATGATCCACATAGGATACACATATGCCATCAAGAAACTGATCAATTGAAGTCCTAAACATCAAATTCAAACAACCAATCCAAAAACGAATAAGTATACATAAATCATTAAGTCCGATAATTATCTTAAAAAGAAATGACCACAAAATATTGATGTACCAGTTTCGCCCATTAAATGTATAAAATACCGACATATATCATAATATTTACATACTAATTTGATAACACAATTGTACTTTACTCACATGGTAACTTTACGAACACCTTTTTTCATGGAGATCTCAGTTTTGTTAGCTGGAGTGAAATCCATACTAAGTTTACAGTCTTGAATTCGAATTTTCAGGTGATTTTTTGAATCTAAACTATACTTTTCGTGTCCAACTTTGATTTTTCGATTGCCTAAAATTAATTTTAGGAAATTATATTATTAATAATCGGCATCGAATTATGAACATTTTACTTGTAACATTGTTTAAACTGAAGAACTTATTTATTGCTGATTTTTTTGATGTTTGGAGATTCTAACAGAATTGTTTATGTGTTTAACGCAGGAAAATGAATACAATTAAGTTTTTCAGATTGTTAAGACAGTAAATTTAGTTTTATTTAAAATAGCCCACCGTTTGAATATGGTTCATGTACTTAGGTGAGCAGTGATGTCTCGATACACTTGCACCGCCGATACTCTTATGTGAATTTGAAGAAATATGACTATTTGAAAGAGCATTATAAATAATATATTACTTATAGTAAGTTTTCTTTTCAGTAATATAAATAATGGATAACATACTGAAATTCTGTTTTCTTATTGGCAAAATTGATTATACCAGCTTAAAAGTTCAGACAAAATTGTTTGAACTGTTTTATAATATTGATCAATAGAAGAAAAGCACCTATGAGAACAGTTGATTTAGAGTATCATTTTCAAGCCCGCTAATAAATCGATATGTATTAGAAAGACTGCACTGTCAGTTATTCTACTAGTTCCAAATTCTCGCTACATCTCTAACCAACCAACCAATCCATAAATGTATTCAGTGATATTGATAATTTTCTTCACGGACCGACAACTTGGGCATACACTGTAGATTAGAAAACCCCGATAGTTGTTCCTACCTATGTCAAGTTTCTCTTGGAGTAAAGTCAGAAATTTGGACTTCTATAGTTAAACAAATCAGAAATAGAACAGTTACTCACTGACGACAGTGAAAGAGGATAGCGCTATGTCACAAATTCAAGTGGTGTTAGGACAATATTAACAAGTAGATCTTCATTTATTACTTGAATGACACACTGGACATGTACTGACGAATGAAATGGTAATCAGTTATCCTTGGTTTTCAACAATTCCGTAGACTAATATCAACCAATGTGGAAAAGTGAGTAACAATTTATCAGAATAACTAAACTAAACTTTCTACTTTTCTATCAAAACAATTTTCTCAGTGAATGTTAAGATTATATTTTTGTTTTCCTGGTGGCGTACATATAAAATCGCATATTTATGCCTCAGTTAATCACATAAGCAAGTGGTAGTTAACCTCAGATAAATCATCAACAACTCACCGTGATCATCGAATTTCAATGGAGCTTGGAGTACAAAACATCTGTTTAGTTCCATATATGACAGTATTAAACCAATTAATAAATAATTCGCTGTCGATAGATTAACCATTCTTTTTTCTATGATAATAATAATAATCAAAAAAACTCTATTTCGTATGAAAGATACATATTATTTATTTATAGAAAGATACACATGTTTGAAGTTGTTACGAAAGTATAAATAGAATATTATTGCTTGACTACCAACCATTTTTGACTAAAGTCCTGGAACTACCAGTAAAAATATATGGTCTGTGAAGTTGGCGGTGAGTTAGTCATTATCAAAGGTGGGGATGATGTTTGAGCATGCTTAATGCATATTGTCTAAAGTCAAAATCGTAAAACCATAGCACCCAAGTCATTAGTTTAAATGTATCAAGTTCATTATGAGATCTGAATTTTGTAGATCAGATCTTATATGCGGTTGTTGGTGTTCCCTAACTTAGGATGAAACATTAATCCAGACAATTCTATAGTATATATCAGTCTCCGATATAAAAACTATCTTCAACGTATCATAAGAATGTGAAATTATTGATATAAACAGCTGATAATGACTTACTTCAATAACAATAAATAAAACATTAAATTGTAAAGCAATTTATACAATCCCATTTTATACTATCTATAACTATCTATTAATTCATAATTGATCAATAAAATGCAAACATTGAACATATTGTCATTGTCATTCATTCTCTTTACTCCTAGAACGGAGCATAATTCAATGAATAGAATGACATTTTAATAGTTAATTTATGACATGAATGTTTGCAAAAAGTCAAGTATAGTATTAATTAATTAACCAACATTCATTTTCTGCTAGACTTGACTCCTTTTATTACGTAATAAAATGGAAAAATGGACATAAATTTAGATTTTGTCATGTTACTTTTAAAAGACAAATTATCTGTCAATTGTCTTTAGTCATAGTGTGAAATTTTCGATTCCCAGGACAGAGTTTGTTGGAGAATGCTGGTCGGCGGCCCATGCTCCATTGGGAGTAACAGGCGTAAGTAAGTAAGTAAGTACGTAAGTAAATAGAATGTTCGATCAGCAAATTTATTGACATTGACTATGTTGGGTCATTAAAATAATTAATGATAATAATACTCGTTTTATTTAACGCTTCATATTTTATTATAGTGTGGTGTGTGTTACTGATATCGATTGAAATAAGTAGTATGTATCATCAATTGAAATTAAAACACTTAGAAAGTTAAGTAGATCGAATAGAAGAGAATGTGAACAGACAGTGATTAGTGTGGAAGAAAAGAATCAGTCAGGTTTGATACAATTGATTGACGTTTTGCAAATGGAAAACTTACTGTGATTATCTAGAATTGAAATTCAACTGCTAATGTTTACTATCAGTTCTATTCCCATGACATCACTTTTTACATTTTATGCATAAATTCTATAGTAATCGGTTCCCGTTTCTCGATGAAATATATATATATATATATATATATATATATATATATATACATGAACCAAGGTGGCGGCACTTCTTAAGGCTTTCAATAATAAGATTCGTAATAGGTTGTAAACATTATAAGAAAATGTGTGGGGACACGTAATTAGAAAAACGAATTACCTAATTAAAACAAATCTAAAACATGAATATTGTTGATAATAAGTGCATGTACTCGAGAACGGATGGCCTAGAAGTTTGAGCAAGCCTCTAGTACTCAAATGAGGCGAAAGATGTGAACCTAGTTTTCATGCCAGTTGGTACTTATCAACAAAGACTATCCATAATTGATCATCTTACAGTTTGGTGCTGATATCTGATTAATACTAAGGCCTAGATAAACACCATTTTCGTTATTAATCAGCGACCAGTCAGTGTGAACAATAACAATGCTAATGAATATTTCGGGACTCACTAAATCTTGCGGGCTGCCCGATATTTGTACTCATGTTTATGAAGTGCATGAATCTTGGCTTGTGTAGTGGTGTATTTGGGCAACGAATACGCACTATGCTCGTTGTTGAGTCGGCTTTCCGAGAGCTGCAACAGAGCCTCCAGAGGCCATAAATGAGCCGAGGAGTCCTAGTCAATCAGAGTATGATGGAGCTTTCTAGAATATCAGCGTGGCATGCTACTATTGGTTAATGGCATAATATGTCTTTTAGCGGATTGGCCAAAATATGATGTTGATTTAACAAATGTAAGCATCTATAAATACCCTTGTTTTTCTGTACAAAAATGAACCTTTGGAGTAAAGTGTTTTTCGCTTATTTTGCGCCTTTTCTCTCGAGTTCAGGTCGCTGCGTAGTTCTAGCTTGCGGGTTACCAGAATAACTTAGGAACCGAATAAAGCGTTCAAATTAACAATACTTATCACTCGCAAAAAGAAAATAAGCTAAAATGTTTGCCTTATGTCTAATAAAATCAGAGGCCCAAACCATCAGGTCGAAAACGTAATAAGATATGGAAGCAAATACTACGGAATGATAACCATCAATCCTCCCTGATAGTCCTTATGCTTATGTGTATGTCGTAAAGTTCATGGACGAAAGTTTATATACCACTTGTATGCATGTATTGAATAAGAGGTAGTCAGTTTTAGTAAATATGTTCAAAGGGAGCTGTGACCACCTACACTCCCAGGTGAGTGAAGATACCTATATGTATGCTATAGGATGCATAAGTGGAAACGTGTGTGTTATTGGTGTGTATGTAACGTATATTCACTCTTAGGGTGAGCATATCTCTATATCCTAAGGGGTGCATATGTGTAAACGTATGTGTTACCAGTATGCATTTTGTAACATATACTTGCTTCATGGTGCAACCCTCGCTCACCAAGACCCAGAGGTATCGATTTCCTTACGAAGTCACAAGCCTTGATCACAGAAAACAATTTGAGAAAGGTCACTTAGGCTTCACCAAATAAGGCTCAACCAGCTTTAAATGGCTGGAACACCACCACTGGTTGGATACACTAGTGGTATTCGGCACAATTATGATGTTTAAATTTAGGCTGGTGATTAGTGGTGATCATCAGAAAGTCCTTAGTACGTGCTAGTCGATACCTCTATGATAAGAACATGTGCTCTCAGTGACATTCAAATCCACACCATCTATTATCAGTCAGAGACGTTATCATTGAGATATTCTAACCACAACTTCTCGTCAAATCTGCGTAAAAAAGTTGTAATTGAAATACCTCGTTCATTTTCCTACATCCGTCCTATAAACAACATACACTGAAGTAGCCGCTAACTGTTACATTGTAAAATACTTCAGAATAAATATTTAGACGTAATATTAAATCAAGTTTATCCTACTCATAGAACCCGTCATAATACACTGAAATATACTGTTATGTTACTTTTCAAAACCAGGACGATTTATACTAAGTTGGCACCACATATTGTGTTTTACTCGCTAGTGTCTAATATAAAGAATATGTATTTGATAATTGATTCATCTAGTTGTTAGGCCTTGCATATCGTACTTGCTTCCAAGTCGATTTCTTATTCCTCATAATATTCAGCTCTTAAATCCCAAAGTTACTAGAAATGTGAAGTAGGTTTCATTACCAAGTTTAGTTCATTTATTAACAACAATTTGTATTTCTAAGTTAACAAATGAACTTCAGACTCTAGAATCTTCTAAGAAAGCAACTTACATTGGTTATAATTTTGGCAATTGACTCATCGGATTATGGAACATGATAACCGTTTGATACTTGAGTAGTTTCCAGTGGATAAAAGTTCTTTAGGTTTCTATGGGATTCTCTAAAAAATTAAGTCAGTTCGAACACTGATAAAGCCAGACAAGCTGTATACACTCTGGTTTATTTTTATTTCTAACAGTCTGCTCCAAAAACTCTTTGAGATGATTGTCAGACAAAAGTACATTTTGCCTAATCTGATGGTATGCTTTCTCTTCAGTGAAATGACAACTATTAATCAAGTATCAGATTACATTAGTTTAATCAAGGAGATGGAACCTACTGACCACAAACTAGAGTTTTTCAATTGTTTGACTGAAATGGATGATATTAGTAACATGAAACTCGATATTTTTCGGAAATCAACACACTTTGAGAGATCTTTAAATGACAGGTTGGCAGATGGTTGTTCTACGAGGGTCTCAGCTGTAAAAAACTTATTTAACAGTTGTAATTTCACTATAGAAAAAAACATCAGATTAAGTTATATTCAATTATGTATAATCACAGGAATAACAATCACCTAAAAGAGTTTCAGGACGAAAAACGAATTAGAGTATACTGAGAGAAAAAAAGGACACAAATGTCATCTTATACCGCGTTGCAACATCGGAGGCAACCAAGAGGATTCTAAGTAATCGTAGTATATCAGCTTATTTCTGAACCAGTGATTCTGTAAGACAAGCTTTATTTAAACTTATGGATATGTTAACAAGGGAACAACAACAGGATGTTGTCTGTGAATTTAAATGTCGTAAATTCATTGCAGTTTGTGTGGATGAGGCATCTAGACAACTGAATATGGGGTTGAAGCAACACCAACAATGTCTGAAGCGTGCTCCAAAACCCTTGATTGATTTAGGGAATTTCAGGAGTAGATTGACTGTAGCATTGGATTCGCTAGAAGGAGGTCAAATGGTCAACTTTAAAAGGGCTTGGTTGGCACGACGACTGATATCTGCAGCTCAGTATATGTATTCTAATCAGAACAATTAGTCTCTACTCTGTTTATATCACACTTGGATTTATTCCGTAAAAAATTTATGTTAATATTTAGACATCACAACTCTGTACTTGATGTTTCTCATTTTACATACACTTCAATGTTTTTAATAAGCTTCTCAATTGTACCACCATTTGCAATAAACTGATTGATTAATCTCTTTGGTAGCAAACAAGGATGATACTTATTCCTTTCTTCTTTAATGGTATACTACTTATTAATTATAAGTAACTTGAATTAATCTAATCACTGGTATGGCTTGAATACGTTTATGACAGCTATTGGCAAGTCACTCGATACCTGGACAAATCATGGTTCATCATCGGAAAATACCTAGTCCTTATTTTTTTGTACAACATCAATATAATTTACGCAAATCCAATTCTTCCTATCTCTCCATTTTTACACGAAACTCGACAGCTGAATTAAAATCCTAGTGTTGACTGTTAAATTTGCAGCATATTCTCTACTATATAAGCATTTTAATCAATATAGTGTTTCATCATGAAAAATGCATGGATTTAGTTTATCATCAGAAACCAGAACTAATCTAGTTTGCATCTGTCCGCTAATGTAAACCATTAGTTCCATACATAAATAAAGATATGACATTTCGATTTTAGAACGTAGATAATACATATGATTGAGATGGAATCTAAAGGTAGACATTTCCAATTCTCATTTTTTCTACTACTACTACTCACATTTTACATAATTCCACTTAGTTTTTGCAGTCATCGTTGCCTGTTCATACCTTAGTGTAGATTACTTTTTAGCTATTCATATATTCCAGAGCAAGTTCCATTAAAAGTACCTTTTCATAAATCAATCATGTATGTTAACTTTTCGTCATTTCATGAAACTCTTACAAATTGTTACGATGTTAAATACTGGTAAACTTAGGTAGAAATACTGCAGTAATTCGTATCCTTATGTATATGGTTACACATAAATAAAAGGCGTTTTAGCATGTAATTTTTCTAAGTATTCACAAGTTAATAGGACACCTGTTGCTATATGTTGCATGTCATTTTGCTGAGAAATTCTTTATTGCAATCAGATATGTGGTACTCAATAGACGGATTTTTGTGAATCCTATAATTATTATTATCATCATTATTATTATTGGTAGTGATATTGTAGGGACAATCGAATGTAGTTGAACATGAAATCCCAGAACATCTTAGTGAAATCTGAGAACCATACAGTAAATACTGAATTTGCAAAATGTTGATCAATTGTCTCAAACGTGACTGTTCCTTTTTCAAATGTCAATCAATCGTCTAAGAATTCGTTGTTCCTTCATTTCCACAGCAATCATTCTCTGTTCTCGTTCACTTTTCATAGTTCTTCTTATCCTTCTTCTGCCAAATACTTCACTTTGGATTGATGATATATACTACTTATATCTATCGACATCAGTGGCACAAACCACAATATAATACCCAACATTTGCCATATTTATTATAATAATTTATCATTCCATTTTTTAATCAAAATGTTGTATCTTCATTTAGTCAGAACAAATTTAGTGATAATCAAACAACAATTGATAAAGCCCTATACTCCTCTTATTTTGAAATACTTATGGCATCAAATAACATTGTTATTATGGTAGTTATTTTGACTAGACTTGAACAAATGTATGATTATGTACTGTTCTTTACAACTTTTGATTAGAAGGTTTTACCTGGTAATCAATTTACAGTTCTTGATAAAATTACTTAATTAATTGTCAACTGATACCTATAAATATTTAAAGCATTATTGTCATCCATTTGTAGTCGAGTTGAATGTGAGATAATTGTCTATATGATCTTTATCTTGCAAGCACTACTTGAAAGTGACATTGTGTTGGGATATTCAGGAAAGCAGCCCAAAAATTATTCTATTAATTCTAATGCTATTCTTGGACTTGGAGATGGTATTATTCTCTTATTGGTCAGTGCTTATTTCACGTGTCATTTTCCTACTGGTCAATATTGTACAATGTTATTTTCTATTTTATGGTACGATGTGGTCTGCGTGATTAGTATATAAACAGAGTGTGTTTGAAATATGATTCATATATCCGAGGCTGAGACTTGCGTTCTGGACTTAACTGGCTGGGCTAGACAGGGGAGCGGAACCAATCAGAACCCTAGGTTGTTCTACGTGTTTGCGCGTCTTTGGTCCGATCAATAATTCGCTGTCCTCTAATCAGCAGCATTTTCACAGTCATAACACATTGATACAATATATATATAATCATGAAATCTGATAAAATATTTTTTGCCTTAGTTGAAACCATAAATTGATATTTATCTCTGTCATAAGATACACGCATCTATTTATTGGATACATCTTACCCAGTTTGTTACAAAAGCTTTCATCCCTTGAGTCATTTATAGAGGCTGTATAGAGACTGTATATGTAAAAGGTGAGATGACCACTTCATGAGATGGCATGAAGTAAATGTCCCTCATGGTTATATGAATGAAATTCTAGGAATCGTCTGTACATTTTACCATAAAATTCTTTGAGGATTGTTTAAAATAATATAAAGGACTAACAATCTTACTTTAATAGTGTATTGTATTTTTCTTATCAAAGTAATATACTACTTTTCATTGAATGAAATCTATTCAACTTGTGTTATTTTACTTCGTTTGCATCACTTAAGAACTTTCTATCTCCTTTTATCTATGATTTATCCGTTTTATTTTCCTATAAACCACCATCTCATTTAATATGGCATATTTTTTAGTGTTATTCTGTTGTATCAAGTAAGGTTTTATTATTGTTTTGGTAATTCAGCTTACGTAATTCAGGCTCAAATGATTTCAGTAAGTGATACTAAGTCATATGTATTCGAATTTCAGTGGATAATATCGTCATCAGCAAAAAATGTCAATATATTATGCCTATATGTAGCAACAACTGGCAAGAAACTCAAGTACGAGGATTTATGTCGATTGGTCACAATCATCTGACATCACCAAGTTTCCAAGCCCATCTAACCTTGAGATTGCGTTGTCTTTTGGTTGATAGAATTTAAAGAGTAGACAGTGTCGCTCTGGTTGGTACTGCTAGTATAGCTAGTATATAAAAATATGACAGTTAAATAGATTACGTTATCCTAGAATCACAAGAATGACTAATGCAGCACTCTAGTATACATATGAATATTTTCCATGTGTTGCCACTGTTATGATTCGATCAGTATTGTTTTATTATTACTACCGATATCACAGCTTCTATTCTCATCACATTTAATGCATCGATCTTATATATAAAATTGTATTCAAAGTAACCAATTAAACTTTTCCTGCTAATAATCAATCACTGACGTTATACAACACAATGCTTAAGAATCTCATACTAGAACGAAATAGTTTCAAGCTTCTCAATAGTGATCTTACATAGATCGATTCATGATCTCAATGAAATTGGAGGATCTTCATCAATTTATAATGCTAATTACTAATCAATAATATAAAGGAAGATGAGAGTGAAATGAAAATCAATGAAAATTAAACACATACAATCAATAATCAGTTTTATTGAAATGTTTTTTGCAAAGTAAAATTTTCACATTTTAGTAAAATGTACTACATTTTAACGGTTGAATTAGACTTTTTTGCCACGTTTTTGCTATACCATGATGTACATATTCTAAAAATAGAATTTTAATAAAAACAAAAATAAATTTAAATAAGGAATCTCTTCAAAAAAAGAAGATAGGTGTTATATCCCGATAAGAATAATGAATAGTAACTGTTGGAATTTATATCTGAACTAATACTATACGTATATTTTTATCGTATAATTAGTAAGCAGCTAAGCTATGTATATTAATGTTCCTACTATCATAAGCTTTATTTTGACCTATGAACCGTTATTATACGATTTACCATTCATGAGTTATGCCCAATCCATCAAGTACTATCTCCCACATTCACAGCCACATTTGGCTAAATCTTGTACAAACGTTGTTTCCTATTTTATGATAAGATGTTGTCTGTTTGGTTGGTATATAAACACCCAGTATGTTTGAAATGCATGATTCATATCGCAGAGACTGAGATTAGTGTTCTGGACTTAACAGACAGCGTTTTATGTGTCATTAGTCCAGTCGATAATTCACTATTCTCTAGTTGGTGGTAACAGAATCATGAAAATTAACAGCATGCTTATCTTTTAAAATCCTGAAGATAATCTGTTTTGTCCTATTTAATTGACATAAAAACTGGGACATAATACTTTAAACTTCCTCTTTACAACTCACGGATACTTTCATTATTTCTCAATAGAAACTGGTAATGTTAATTAAAATACCAAAACCTTTACTTAATAATTAATCCTACAGTCGGTCAAAAAAGTTTCTGAAAAATGTTTTGTGATTATTGCTGTTTATTAGTCAGATAGATCTTCAGCTTTGAAGAAACTAATAATCTTTTTAGGAGATCTGAACGCTTGTCGCTTGAAACAGAACTCGTACTACTCAAGAATAGGATATTATTGTATGATTATGGCATTTATACTGTAACATGCAATTCAGACGTATCGATGGAATGATTCCTGGAGTAAATCTTGATATGCGATTCGAATCGATTTTCCACTTTATCGAAGATCAACTAATAATAATTTAGTAGTTGAGTTCATGAGTCAATTGAAGTTAGACCACCATGGAAAACCTGCAAGCTCTAGACGACCATTTCATCCTGTTGTGAGATTCATCAGTAGTGCGCATCCGCAACCCCAACCCCCGGGATTTGAACTCAGGATTTATCAGTCTCGCACGCGAATTTTTAACCTCTAGGCCAGTGAGCTGGCTAGCATCCAACAGTGTTAATGTCTAACTTCATCCAATTCACGAAATTGAGCCACCGTCCACTATTGTCTTCAGTGAGTTACTGTCTCACAACAGACCAGTGGATGTGCACATGTGAGGAGTCCCACAGAAAGATGAAACGGACATCTAGTGCTTCCAGGTTTTCCATGGTGGTCTAGCTTCAGTCGACTCATGATCTCAACTATTAAACAACTAATAATAACCAACCAACCACACATATGATTCTAACCAATTAATTTCATTCATAAAATATATCAGCTTTTTATGAATATTTTTATAAACGTGTTCTTCAAATGAGAACTGACAATTTTAATAAAATTCAGCTATTAACGATACATTTATTATTGTCGAAAGAAATTAGCTGGATTAATAGTGTCGATTTTACAAAGAAAAGAGGAGTTAGGAGACAAAATTTCTTTCTAGTTGTTCTAATAAACGCTACAAACCCAAGAATGCTCAACGAACAAGTATACGGAAATACAAGTCACAGATCAAATATTTTATCATGATAAAGAAAACCGTTATATCAGAAGCTTCATAAAAATATTACTAATGAATTGACCGGTCATTGCAAAATGAACCCCGAAAACCACAAAATAAACAGTCCAACCATGTATGGGACATATCTCGGAAATCCCTAAAACAGTTTTGATGGGATGGAGAATAGGTATTTCCTTAAATAACGTGGTCCCCTTCTCTTCACCTAAACATAAATGGATGTAAACTGGCAGTGAAACGACATGATGTATCGTCATTAATATTAGTGTATGCCTACAACCATGAACATCGATTCATTTCGGTTAATGTCAAAATTCTGTGTCGACGAAATTTAAACAATTGCGAAAACGATTAGGAACATGACATGGATGTCAGTCGGTAGTTGGTAGACATACTGGTATAGATCTAGACTGTCAATGCTTATGGAGAATATCAGTCAGTTAAGTGTTACGAAGTCAACCGAACAAGACAGTAAACAAGAGTTCAAGGGAAGATGGAGATAACAAAATCTATTTAAATATTTAATTTGCTTATCTCTGTGTGAAATAATGTCGTCCAGCAAGACTGACCTTGTCACTTGCCTATGTGCTTTGTGAGCTTTAATTTCTTTGGCATTCGGTGCAGCCAAATCCACTGTTGTTACACAATCACCATCTTTCACTGTCAACTGATCGTCCTTATCCAATACAAGCTTAAATTGTTCCAACCGAAGGAACATTTGATCTGAAATTTTTTAATGAATAAACGCAAAGTTAAAATCTTCATAAAACAGATTATCTGAAATATATCTAACAGTAGATACATGATCTCCAGCTTTAGCGTGGACAGGATATACTACATGGGACATTTTATTAAAACATACGATAAAGTTCTAAGTAGTATATCTGTTGAAAAGTTAAATGATTTGAAATATGTGAACAGATAATAGGATCTATAAGGTGGTCAATATCAAATGGTCCATTTCATTTATCAAATGATTGTTCATTAAAGCACAAACATTCGCTACTTCTGGAATATTTGAAGCTTTTGACACTGAAGTACTTATCAATCTAAATTGAGTTTTAAAACCGTTTAAACATAGTTTCCTTCCATTTAAATATTAAAACATGATGGTAAGCAGAAATGTATAGTACTATGATCAGCCTTTAAAATAATCCGTTGAACAAGTTGTTAGAGAGTTTACTTATGATAAAAAGAAATAATCAACATATCGCATTGGCACAGTTAAACAATATTTGTCATGAAGTCTGAATATTGTTAGAAATAGTTAGTAATCTCTTTTATCCGATAATTTAATAACGATATGATAGGCAGGAATTTAAGACAAGTCTCTTTAGGGTTTAATTACAAGTAGAATAAAGTAAAGCATGTAGATTTTACATACTGATAGACAGATAAAGTATAGAAAAAGGCATGTGTATTCCATCAACTCAACTGAGTACTTGATAATTATTCACTTTGTTAGTTACAGACCAAGGAATTCATAATAAGTTTGGAACTCACTGCAGATATAACCATCATACGGGAGAATGAAACAAAATGATATTCCAAAAGTTTGACTTTAATCATCAAAATAATGCACTGACTATCGAATGTTGCGTTCTCAAGTGAACAGATGCATGCATATATGTCAACATGAATTTGAATCATTTTTATGCTTGAATTAAGAGTTTGAAGTAGTTCATCAAAACTTAACAGGTTACAAACTTAAGTGTACACTAATCAATCGTAGGCCTTATTGTGCCCAATTTAACAACACACATACATTGCATCTTCATCTCCATTGTTGGAAATATCTGTAGAAGTCCTTAAAAACCAAGCTTTTTAATTATCTCATCGTTTTACATTTCTTTGTCATTACATTGTTCCACTGACGCCTCTGTTCAGATTTTGGGTAATCAGATGGAATTACTGGGGATATTGTCCATTGAAAAGAGATAATCTATAGTGATGACCGAATGACAGGTTAGAAACTCACATTCGGTCATGGTTGAATTTACAAGTGATAAAAATTCATGGAAATAGCTAACTCTTTGATTATCAGAAGAATAAAGACTTAGACAAACCACGAGTGTGAAAAGATGATATAGTATGGCATATATTTCATTGTATGAATCTTCATATTGTTTGCATAATTCAGTTTCGTTTAGATATAAACTTACTATTTTCATTAAATTCAATTGGAATATAAAGATTACTGAATTCGGTAATTACCACTGGCATAATTGATAATGATGCAATAGATAAAAATAGCAATAGACTAGTGGAGATTAAATTCATTTCTGTTCAGCGTTTATTATGACTATTTATTCAGAAAAGAAAAAGACAAAAAAATTGTGTTATATAAAAAACTAACGCAAAAATTTCAAACAATAATATCAGAAAGGATATTTTGCGGATCTTATAGTAATTTAGTAGTTGAGATCATCAGTCAATTGAAGCTAAACCACCATGGAAAACCTGAAAGAACTGGATGGCCGTTTCGTCCTATTGTGGGACTCCTCATTAATGATTAACTTGAAACAGATTATTTTCTTGAAGAATGTTTAATCGTTAGCTCAAAGGAAATTTCTGTGGTAAATCATGAATATAAAAATTGGTAAACAATAGGCAATACACTATTTGTAGACACTTGAACAGGTAAGAATATGATGTTGTTGTTAACTCGTTAACATATCGAGATAATGAGAGGGAGGGGATATATGCAGATGTATTCATAAAATTAATTTTGGTAACCATCTAAGAAGAACTTATTCCATACTGATAGATAAGTTCCCGTGACAAAAATACTCAATATCAATAGAAACCAAGTGTAAACCTTGGAGAATATCTATAACATAAAAAAAATCTTTACATACATCCATATATGCTACTAGCTAAGTAGTAATTTTTTGAAAAATTCAAGGTTGGCTCTATGGTGTAGTTTATTCTGAAATATTTTAAACATCGATCTTATGTAATGAATAAATTCAGTTTGGATAATATTTTGTTAAGTTTGTTATGTGTGTGTGTATGCGTGTTATATAAATATAGATTAGTATCCAATAAGCAGGAATAATATGAAATTGGAAATATTGATTTATTATTCAGAATGGTTTTCACATTGTTTTTGTGTACTTCTTTTTTTTGTTACGGCTTACCCTTAGTTTGTCTAATTGACTTTTTTTAGTTTTCATGTCATAACGAGTATATGTGTGTGATAAGATTGTTCGAAATGTATTGCGCAAATATATCATGACATAATTCTGATAACCTTCGTCTTTTGGTTGCATTAACGAAATTCGAAATTGATTAGTTCAAAGTGATAGTGTAGTAAGTAAATAAAAGTGTAAACTGACATTACTGCAGTATTAAGTCATTCTGTATAACTGTCGATAAAGAAAATTTCCATTTTTTAGTTGAATTCATAAGTCTATTGAAGCTAGACAACCATCGGAAACGTGGAAGCACTAGACGACCATTTCGACTTACTGTGGGACTACTCAGCAGTGCTCATCCACGATCCCGTCTCGCGAGATTCCAACCCAAGACTTATCAGTCAAGCGCGCGAACGCTTAACTTTAAACCGCTGACCTAGCATCCTATGGAGCTGATATCTAACTTCAACCAATCCACGAAGTCGCGCCTGTGAACACTAACACAGGGATGTTATAATTCAGTTTTAAAGGGGACATTAACTGTTGTTTACTTTAAAAGATCATAAATATTGTTCATAAGGCTACTCAACAGTTAAGCTAAGAAAATGCTTTACATCACTAATGTACTTTCACTAAACAACCATTGCCAACCAACGAATACTGAACAGCAATAAGAAGTCAGTATATGAAGATAGTTGTAAGATATTTTCCTGCATAACATTAAAATCTGTTTTCTTTATTCCAATGAACTTATCATTACTACTATAAGAAGAAATAATCTTTTTTTAAAATAAAATTTACATTATCCCAATTGAACTCACATGATCAAAAAGAAAATCTCCTAAAAGTTAAATAAATATCAGTTCAAATTAGAGACTATTTATACTGAATATATTCAACATTTTAAATTGGGGTATGACAATTGATCCATAAAAAATCAATAAGAGAAACAAATCAATAATTGACAAAATTTGTTACATAATTATGAAGAATTATATGACATTATATATAGAACATTGAATATTGATAAAATGTAACATTTTTTCCACAGAAACTAAATAAATAGGAATAAATTGACACTTATGTAATGTGAATTTATTAAAGATTTTTATATTATTACATTGAATAAATGTAGGCAAACTGGTCAAACTTTAAATTTAAAGTCTTTTGTTCAAGCATTATACACTTAAATTAGTTTATTTGATTATATTACAGTAACCAACTGCAGATTTATACCGTTCGCTTTGAATCATAATTTATGTGTTTTTAAATATTAGTGATACTATACAATGAACCTGATTAGAGTAAGTATTGCATTGTTTGAGTATAGATCTTATCAGCTATGAGTTGGATATTTTTACTACTAAGCATATTTTTTATATACTTGGTGTATGATTGACAACGGATTCCAGGGCATGGGTCTTTTTCAGTTTGGGACCCGTCCGTTTACTATCTACCTACAGTATTCATATTCATATTGAGACTCAAGCTTAGCACTTCTCATTTCAAACGCATTATCTATTGAGCTACTGAGCCCATGTAACGTATACATAGTAGATGTACTAAAACGTTTGACTTAACATTTTATCAAGCTCATCTGCTCAAGTTGCACATATGGTAATAGAGATCTTGAATATTCATAGTGTAAAATTTCACATTCTTAGTAAACGAATTTTTACATTTAAAATAATCCATAACTATTTCGTAGAATGTGTATACACACGAAACCCTATAAAGACCGTTGAATGCTACCGGTGTAGTTATGAACAATCATGAATAGTGTAAATGATGTTTTTTCCAGTTGGCCGATTCATTTTGAAGTTTACAGTTTGTATATATTCGATAGATATTTGGATACTAAATAATTATTTAAGTCAGATGATTTCAATAACTCTATGAATCGGTTGGAAGATATTTTCATGTTTGTTAAGATTGAGATAAGTTAGATGTGTTCATGACCGTCCCATTTAAGGTACTGAATAATTTTAAGAAACGGAAATGAATTTATTATCATTCGACGATTGTAATTGCTGTAATCAAATGCTCTAATTATAGCAGTTTTTAAGGTTCTTTATGAGTTATATTATTAAAGTCTTCATCAGTCGAGTCATATGATCATTTGTTTTAGTATCCAGTTTACTACCGTTTGTAAATGTTTGCATTTTACTCACTGTTTGATTGATTACTAATAGCGAACAAGGTCATTGAACGTATCCCAAAATATTTCTCTTGTGTATAATGGTGGAATCTATGATATATATTTCATTCTGGATGTACTCACTGAGATTTGAACTCAATACCCATTAATTCAAGTCCCCATATGATAACTAATAATCTGCTGAGTTCACCTAAGAACTAATTGATTCAAAGAGGATGATAGTTACTATTATTTATGTGGGTTCATATCCTGGAATACTAATTGTTGGTGTCTGAAGTGTTGGCATAGCGTTTGAGACTCACTGTGTACTCGAAAGGATGAACATCGAACTGACAAGTTCCAAAGAGGACGTCATCTTAGATCTGCATCTTAGCGTTAACTGTAACCTAAAATGTAATGTTCAATTTCCTCATTTATTATGGTTGGTTAAAGCATTTTAGGCTTATTATAAATACTGTCATTAAAATTCAAATCTTAGTTTATAAAAACTATAGTGAATGGGCTTATCTGTTGTGGATTTACCATTAATCTTTGAAGTTGTAACGCAGATAGAAGACAAATAAAAATTTTGGTGTTTACTGATATTTCTGAAGGCACACATTTACTGACTCTTATAATGATGATTTTATGCTATGATCAAGTTTCTTTTATAGAACAATTTCTTGTTGGTTCTTCATGTTGCATGGAATAGCTAGTATTTCTGTACATATCTGTTAAAAGAATAAAAGATTAAGTCATTGAAATACCACCTATTTCTAATTAATTTGATTTACATTGGAGGATAGTTTCGCATTCAGTAATTTGGATGACTCTCACGGCCTCCTACATTATACGACCATTCCATGTTCCTAAATTAGTGGTTGCTCTGGTTGTCAAAAGGGTCGTCAGCCACGTGACTCCCGATGGAACTCGGCTCTCACCATGAGGCGTCACAACTCGTCTAAATGAAGATCTTGCAACCCCCAGGGGAGAGTTTAAATGGTTTGAATTATCGTTTCTGGTTATCGTTGTTTTAGCGAGTTAGTTTTCTACGGGATGAAGTCGCAAACCCCATGCCCAACCCTCGTACTTTATTCGGGCCCAAGCCCGATCGTGCATGATATTAATCATATTTTTACATCTGTCCAAGTGGAAATTTGGATAAACTAAATTCATCCTTGAAAACAATTTAAAGACAAATTTCTTATGTTTTAACAGAAATGTTAGCATTTTATTTACCATTATTTCACTGTATAAGTGGGAATATCATGAGGAAATGAAAGAGAAAAGTCATACAGCCAAGGAATAGATGGACAAGTATAGTGTTTAAAAGGAGGTATAACTCAGTCGAAAATATGGTCAATAAAGATTATTTTCCTGTTTAAAGAAATATCATAAATTATATCAGTCTTGGACACAACTATAAGAAGTCTCTACTGGATCCTGTTCTGGACCAGTTCTAATGATAACTCAACCCACTGGGTTGCATGAAATCTAGCTACCCAGCCGGAAGATCTATGTGGATCGAGAGGTCCTAGTGACATACAACGTTCTGTGATAAAATGCTACTATATCATAAACTTACATCTCTATATCTTCCCCACTCAGTCCCACAGTTGATAATTAGTGGTTGTTAAAAAAGAGACTAGGACGACATTCATAAAATGTATTTAATGGTGACACGCACTAAATTGTCTTCTATGAGTCAAAACAAACATTAGCAAACCTAGTCATCACCGAAATGGTGCCTGTATCAGATGTGAGCAATTTTTGAGGATAACAAACTCGAAAACTATGAGTCAATAATCACCTTCACATTTGAATATCCAGGTCTTACGAGCGTAGACCAGAATTGTTTTAAATGACTAGCCGTTTACTAGAAATTTTAGAGCCAGATTAACATCACATTGGCTCTGAAGATGGGCTAAATCGGTGTCGACTGCTCTGGCTTCCACTATACTGACATTACTGAACAAACTACATAGGTATACATGTAAACTCCCAATTATATACTGATATCAACAAATTCCCTTAGACAGTCTCGTTCATAAGCAAAAACGAAAAGAAATAAGCATTTTATCATTCTCTTTTCACACACACACGTACACTGCATATGCACAAATAATTATAAAGGATTATTAATATATTTGAAATGATACTTGAAATCCAGTTCAAAGTTAGATGAAATATGATGATCTTGTAGCTATGAGATCATTAAGTGTATACGTATAAATGTGAGAGGAGATGTTACATAACTGAAATAACTCATATATTTACCTGCTTTTTTAAAGATATTCTCTTCGCTGTAAATGTATTTATTTCTAATATTGAAGAGTAATTAATGTAGTTATTGTTTGAAAAATATTTCTTGTTTATTTTTATGTAAAATAAAGTAAAAAGTTTATTCCAAATGAGGAATTTAACAATCAAGCAATTTATTATTCTCCTCTTCTTCATGTTAGATTACATATACTACTCACTAATTTCCAAATATTATAGGTAAGTAATAAAATTAGGAAAGATGATTATTTATCGTGCTTGTTTAGTAAATTTTCAGTATATCAGTGTTTATTGTCAATTTTGAATATTTATAATGCAACCAAGTGGGCCAATACATTTGGTAACGTATATACTTCCCATCAGGTATTACACATCATCCCCTCCAAATATCGATCACAATAAATGCAGAGTATTTTAAGATAAACAAATTTGCTTACTTACAAGTAGTTCAATAAATAACACACAAAAAATGGAACCATTTAAAAAATGAATTACCATTGACCAAAGATTATGGTCAATATTAGTTTGCAAAGATAATCAATAACAACAAACTATATTTCAGTCTAAAGGAATAAAATAATAGAGATCAAAATAAATTACTAGTGATTAAGGAAACAAAAGGAGTTTCTTCTATTTTTTCAATCGTACATTTTATGAAAGTAATTTATGAGAAGTGTTTGTGAACAAAACATATGCATACGTACATGCATACATACATACATACACACACACAAACGAACAAACCTACATACATACATTAAAATTGGTAGAATTATGCCGAATTGAAATAAATGATAAAGCGGTACAGTAAATGATTAATTTGTGAAACAAATAACACAACATTTAATAAAACTGCAGAAAATATTACTCCTCAAAAAAAGTCGTACGTTTTTTGTTTCTCCTTTAAAACTAATATGAACTAAGAACATCACATAAAATGTTAGTTTTTATTCATTCAAATATGATTATTTGTTTATTTTGTTGGGAACTACTTTTGTTGAAATAAGTAGTTTAAAACGTTATCCAGCTTTTTTCTATCTTATTGTATTTTCATCTGGAAATGTAGAGTTTATTTGATTAAACTGAAGATGTTAATTGAATTGTAATTCTTAGAAGAATTAATCCCTTATTCATTACCATTATCGTAATTATGTGTATACAAGTATGTACACTAGACAAAATAATGAACAGGTTCTACTGAATTTCGAAAGAAAAATAAAATAGAAGAATACACTTTTAGATTTCATTCTACCATTATATTTATGATGAAAATATTTGTCCATTACTTTTTGTTCACATGTATGCATGAATTTCACCTTCACTTCCTCTTTCTTTTCCTCTCCTTCTAAACTTGTGTACATTGAATACAATTATATGGATGTGTACATTTAATTCGTAAACATAAATATACTAGATTGTTATTAATATAGAATGTTTAAAATAATAACATTAAAGAAGATCAGAATAAAGAAAGAAAAAAGAGAAGAAAAAGAGGAGAAAATAAAGTTAAAATCATATTGAACACTGTATATTATTATTATTATTATTATTATTATTATTATTATTATTATTATTATTGTAGTTTTAATTCAATATGGTTTTGTAGAATCACTTTTTGGACGTTTCAATTGAACTTTAAGACGTTTCATACCAATTTGAAAACCATTCATTGCATGTATAGCTGTTTGTGCACTTGATGGATTATCAAAGCTAACAAAACCTAATAAAATAATATTAAAAAACAAAGAATTATAATCTATTATTACGAGAGAAATAAGTAATGGTATTATGTGAATATTGATTTTTGCATCATTTATAATTTTATGTTTACTGATTAAGCATTACTTCCGGTTTCATTGAACCTGTTTAAGGATAATGATCATTGAACAAATTAAAATGTTGTTCAAACGATTGAAGATATTTTTTTAAAGACATTTCATTGTATAATAGTTGAAGTTTATTTAAACAGTAAACATGGAGATTATGAAATTGTCTAATAGTTTATCATATAATATTATGCAATATGGTTCAGGGAAACTCTGGGTATTTACAATTATTGAGCGGTGATTAATGGTCAACGTTACTTGCTTACTTACTTACTTACTTACGTCTATTACTCCCAATGGAGCATACGCTGCCGATCAGTGTTCTCCGACCCACTCTGTCATGAGCCTTCCTTTCTAGTCCTATCCAATTTTTGATCATACTTTCCATGTCTGTCTCTATTTCATGACGTAATGTGTTTTTTGGTTTCCCTCTTCTCCTTTGACCTTGAGGATTCCAAGTGAGAGCACGCCTTTTGACGCATTTGGGTGCTGTCCTCAATGTGTGTCCTATCCACTTTTAGTGCTTCTTCTTGATTTCTTCCTCCTCTGTCAACGTGGTGTTTGTTTAATCTTTAGTACAGATCACATTCCATCAGTCCATTTGCAATGTGTTTACTAATCTAAGCATTTCCACATGTTTGGATGTTAAGTGGGTAGAGGCAATCATTTTAAATGTTTCAGTCAGATCTAGATGGGACAACTTATTATTAATGTCTGCAACTATGATACTGTTTAATAAGGACTCGAAAAGTCATTCCCTTAATAGTTATGATATGCTATTTGACACGAAACTTAGATTCAGAGTTTTCTATTGGTTACCTTCATGCATGTAAATTCAAATTCAATATCTATCAAGTGTGTTTGAAGATTATTCAACTTCGTCAAGTTTTGAACAAGTAATTTTTTCATTAATATACTCATAACCAGGTAATTATATTCCTATCAAAATTTCATAAAGTATGCGTTGTCGTTCATTTTAGGATAAGTATTATACTTTGTTATCAGAATTAGAGAAGGTTTGTTATTGTATTGCCCCCGGATGCCCTGGTACGGCCGAGAATGGGGAGAGTCAACTCGCCCTTTCCAAATGCTTTTACATGGCCACGTGCACACAACCGCTGCCAGGGAAATTCTATTTACTACCCTCTCGTGGCGGGGGTGTTGTTTACGAAATTGAGAGGACAAAAAGCGAATGTCCGGCGCTTTAACTTGGTTGGTGGATGTGGAGGATCCACCTACGGGAGTTAGAAAACCTTGATTCCAAACCAATGGTGCACATGGACTCCAGTGTCCTGAGGGAAGAAATAGAGTATGAATCAATTGTTGGTCACCGGCTACCATGGGACTGCATCTCCTGATGTTGCTTCATTTCCTTGTAGATCAGACCTTTAGGTCAAAGGCTCGGTGTATGGCCCCCTAGTAAAACCACCAGTTTCGGTACCCGGTCAATATCCTAGCCCTTGCACAAATCGCACGATTTATGTGGCGCATATCTATATGGTACCTCCTTGTACCAATGTTTATGTAATCAAATAAATAAATAAAAATGTTATTTTCGTATTATAGACCAATAATACATTCAGAATAATAACTGCCTGATACGTAGTAGAATGAACAAGTTCTCATAAGATCAAACAAACAATCAATAAAATAGCTTGTATAGAATAAGAAGTCAAGTAATTGACAACTCTCATTTCACATTTTAAGGGATAATACTTTGGAGAATTCCTTTCATTACTACAAATTGATGATAAAGTTGACTATAAAGTAACTCATTTATCAAGTAGAAATCTATAAAATTGTCTTATAACTACACTTTTTATAATGTGAGGGCTAGTGATATTATTCAACTGCTTAAATCAAAATTGGGCAAAATTAAGGAGATGAAACCTCGTGTTTACTACTTTTTTCATTAAACTAATAACACCACAGCTTTTAAATTAAATACTGTTTAAATTAATGGAAAAAAACTTACCAAAACATTTACTTTGATTCGTTGCACGATCAACATATACTTTAGCACTGATTACTGTTCCAAATGGCATAAACATCTGAGCCAATTCTGGATCGCCAAATTCCTGTGGAAGGTGGTATATGAAAAGATTGCATCCCTCTGGCCCTATATACATACATATATATGAAGATGGATGTTGATTTGAACCTAATTCATACATATTTATTAATCATATACAAAGATATAAGTTTATCATTCATTAACTTGTATACTAGTGTTGATAAGAAAGGAATACAGAGTGGATATTAAAAGAGAATTGATGTGATTTGCTGTTAAGTTCATTGCGTTGATCAAAATTTGTTGATCTAATTTTAATTTAGTCGATAATGTAAGTAACTTAACTTTACAGGATGTTTGGCCTGATCCTGGAGGTGGTGAGAAGCAATTTAGTAGGTTAGCCGTGGACTCAGAATTCGTTGATATAGTTTTAGTTTTGAGTGAACTTTTACTCCCCTACCATGTAGAATACGAACATTCGTTATTCTGTGTGATTGTCAGTTTTGGAAAGAAATCGTAACCAATTGAGTTCAGTCACGTTTGAAGTGAGACCAGTAGTATCAACGATACCGAAGGACGGTCAGGCAGTATTGTAGTGAAACGGAGACCCGCTGGCGTAAACCAATTTATTGTTGAATTGAAAAGTACAGAGTAGTTTAGTAAAATATGAAGACTATACATTAAATATAGTATTTGCATATCTTTCTCCAAGTTCCCCTAACATGCTTCACGATTTCCTATTCATGTTGTTATTGTAATTGCTTTCTGTTTACATTATTGTTCTCTTCATCTTAATTTTCTCAATCTTCTGCTGCCAGACATTCCACTTGTGATTGGTGTCACGTACTACTTATATCTGTCAGTATAAGTAGCATCTATTACAGTATCAGAAATTTATTGCGATTAACAAACTGAAACATTTTATGCCGAATACGTTGTATTAATATAGAAATGAGCCTAAACGTTATTGACGAACACTCCTGTGAAATCTGAAACTTATCCATTAACACTGTACTCTTATGAGTAAATTTGTAAGCCAGAATTATTCATTTTGTTATGTCCGTTAATACTGTCCAATATACGTGTGTTTTGCTGTACATGTTCACTGACTGACTATATGTATTCTTCGTTTTTCTTCTGTGTACTAGTTACATTAATTTGCCAATTTACAAACAAATGAAGTAATAAAGGATACATTTTATTTGTTTTAATAATAGATATGACGCCTAGATTTTGATTTAAAAACACTATGTAAGGTACTTAAATAAGATGACTGTAGAAAAACTAAATCCTACGTGTAAAGAAATGATATCTAACTTCAATCGATCCATGACCTTGCACAAAACTTCGTCTGTTGTCTGAGGTGAATAACTGTCTAACACCCGACACGGATTAGACTCTTCTGGTCACGTCTTCTCAGTAGAACTCTAGGAAATCCATCTTGAATTTAGCAATAAGCAAATGATTACTATCAATAAGGGAATTTGTAAAGACTGTAGTATATTTAACAGTCTAATTGACGAGTTGATCTAAGCTAAACCAATAATGAAAACGCGGAAGCACTGGCCGGTCATTTCGTCCTAGTATGAGACTTCTCATCAGCGCGCATCCATGATCTCACACGCAGAACTCGAATCTAGGACTTTCAATCTCGCTTGTAAACGGTTAACCTTTATACAACTGATGTCTTTCAGATCTTCAATGATGATCTAGCTTAGATCGACTCATAAACCTAATTATTGAATATACTACAGTCACCATAAATCCTCTTACTGAAAACAGATAATAATCACTTAAAACCATTTTTATGATAAAATCAAAATCCATAAATACAATGCGTTATTTGTTATTTAGTCAGACAATAGTCTTTTTGATTTCAAATGTATTGAGGTGGATTTCAACTGATATTTATGATCATGGAAACAAGGAATGATGAAGGGATCTTAATAACTTGGGATGATTAGAACCAAAAAGAAAATCTGATCGGGAATGAGTTATGAACTTTATTCCACTAAAAAACTCAATAAAATTGCGAATTCAAGAATAGATTCATTGTGTATACGATTATTACATCATTTAGTAGTCGTAACAATAATAATAATAATAATAATAATAATAATAATAATAATAATAATAATAGTGAACAAACAACTGAGATGGGGAAGACCAATTTATTGTTTAATGCAAAATTACAGAAAATCTTGACGAAGTATGAAAATCATACATTCAATACTCCATTTCTATATCTTCCATCAATTGTGCCTCACAAATCTCATTGTTCCATCACTCCTGTTGTTATTACAATTACTCCATTTTTATATTCCTGTTCTTTTCAATTTGATATCAATTTTCTGTTGCCAGGCACTTTACCACTTATATCTGTTGACATCAGTAGCATACATAACAGTAGTCGTGTAGTGAACGAGAATAAAAGTGGGAATAATCAAATGTATTTGAATACAAAATTACAGAACATTTTAGCAAAATCTAAGAACCATAAAGTAAATACTGAATATGCAAAATGTCACCCAGTTGTCTCAAACTTGATTGTTCCTTTTGCAAATATATAACAATCGTCTCAGACTTCATTGTTCCTTCATTTCCACGGCGATAATTCTCTGTTTTCATTCTCTTTTCTCTGATATTCTTAACGTTCTACCGCCAGGTATTTCACTTTCTATTGATGATACATACTACTCATAGCTATTGACATTAGTAGCACACACCACAGTAGTATTAATAGCAGTAGTAGTGTAAAGAATGTTAGTAGTATTGGCAGTAATGAATTCCGATAACATATCTCATAGTTATAGCAGGACTTATAACTTACGGAAATAATACTGTATGTTTCCTGAAAATTACAGTCATTTACATTTAGAAAGGATGATAACAGAAATGGTGTAAATGTAATCTATCCAATAAGTATACAAACTGTGTTAAAATAAAAACTTTATTTTACAAAATTTAGTGGAAGTTGATCACTTTTATTCTGTTTCGAAATACGGTTCATTATTGGGATTGCATTTGCTCCTCAGTCATTTCTGTTGTATTAAATGTTCTTGAAAGTCTTCAGAAGTCAAACGTTTTAGCTAAATTAACATTTTGATATGATTTCTTCAGTTCCAAATTAATCACTAGAACAATGTGAACAAATGATAATGCGAAATCCAGTTCACTAGCAGAAATATGAACAATTAATGCATGATTGAAAGGATCACGAGACAGGATACATTGTCTGTTATCATCAATATATTTCATCCCAAATCTGTAATGCACCTGTATCGTCCTTTTTATCTTCTCGGTTAACACTGAAATGTTTGATTAACTTGAAAAGAGACATTTTTCCTAGATCTATCATCTCCACAAGCAGTCATCAATACTGAATGGATGTAATGAGATATATTCTTGTTTCGATAAAAGTTAAATGCAACTCATTTCGCGTGTTTATTGTACAAATCACACATCCGTATGATCTTGATAAGTACATTACATGAATAATGATCAATGCTTGAACAAATATTTTGACAGGATACAGGCACTGACTGTACAGAAGGCATTACTTGTAATCGGGTCAATGAATATTCAATAGTTTAAGACGTTTTCTATTATATTTTTAGGAAATAAATCATCTTTAACAAGATAATGTAATTTTGAATAGTAAGACAAGAGAAAGCGAATCAAACAATCAAGTGTACATAAACAGGTTCTGACATTCTACTATCATATCTATCATATGTAACTATACTTGATATATGCAACGTAGTGAATATCTGTATGTGAACTCTTCTCCTCATATATTGAGGTGCTACAGCTATACTATTAAAATCATAAGTAAACTATGCAATTTCCAATCAGTTGAATTATAACAATAGTAAATAAAGCACTTCATAACAGATTATCATTGTTTGTTCAACACTCTTCATTGGAACAAAGTTTAGATTTTCTAGCTAATAACGAGACGAAGATTGTTTATATTATTAAACGTTGATATTCAATGAATCAGTCGATCAGTGGTACTGGAATTAACGGAAACAGCTACTCAGACTCTATTCTATTGCAGTACTATTGTCTATGTTAATCCCGATAGTTTTCGATTCTCACTTTTCTTAAATGTTGATTTCATTCCAACCGGTACAAATATTTTATTCAGTGACACGATATATTTTTTCAAGTTTTCTATCATTGCTTACTCTTTTATCATTTTGATGAATCCAACATATTTTGCTTACAATCTTATACTACTTACAAATTTCCATTAGGTGAAAAGTAAAATGAATAATTTCCTTTGTATGAATCATGTCATCAGTGATCAAGTCGATTCACTTTATGTATATTTTCTCAGGAATTAATAAATAGCTCTTGCTTATTTGTTTATTTAAACCAAATATAATACACGACAACTAATTGTCTACATTCATAATGACAATAATACGAACTACATCAAAACATTTTATGTGCATAAGTTCACGGAACAAGGTATTGTTAAATTATATAACATCGCATTCTGCAAAATATAGCGGGGTATGTTTGTGTACTGAAATTATTCACTCTTTTCTTAAACTTAACATTTTGTACCGGTTAAATACATTATGGATACTATAAACATTTAAGACGAAACAATAATATCTTCGACTGAAATGCACAAGCACAAAATATACACGCACACGCACACACATACATTGGTACAGACGTATACTCACATTGATTCACTGAAACATTAATAAACTGACAACTGACATAAATATGAGAATACACTAAACAGTAAAGATAATCTTAATACTTCAGAGTAATCTGACCGATGTAGCAGTAGTAGTAGTAGTAGTGATAATGTGAGTAGTAGTAGTATTTAAAGTTGAACAGTTGACAACGTCAATAAATAATCATTAGAAACAAACAAAAAGCAATGTGGAATTTCGATAGCAAATTACTAAAATCAACAATAGTTCACCATAGTTGTTATCATTATTACTATTTGTTATAGTCATCAATAACATGAAGCAATATATTGATTCAATATAAATTACTAATTAGCAACGTCAACGATAATCAATAACAATCAAGATGAACAATATTCCTATATCACATCAATAATATAGAATGATGAACAGATAAATACGTAGACAGATAGATAGATGCACCATTTACTTTACATTATTAATAAAACCTTCATAATTCATAATTATAATAGTAGTTTAAAAGGTGAACAAATAATTCAAAGAAATCATAATTAACACAATTACTATAGTTTGTGTTTGTTTGTTTTTTCCAACAATTGACAATGAAAACGGGAACAAGAAAAGTAAACACGTTTTACTACACACTAACATATAACACAATCTGGTGCAATGCCCAACAATAAAGATTATTTTCAAGGGTTAAACTAAATAATGATACTAATGATAGTAATAATAGTAATAATAACTGTCATTTAAAACAAAGTGAATAGATAAAGAACTCAATTGAACAATTCATATCAGTCATTATCAATGAGTTGTACAAGAAGAAATAATAAAAAAAACAAAATATTAGAAATAAATTTACCGTTGATCATTTGTTAAACTGTTGGCTAATGAAGAAAATTAGACAGAATAATAATAATGATAATAATATGAGTTGTGAAAGTGAATTTATAAAAGATATTGAGTCTTTAATATTCAGAGAACTTATTTCACTTAACTAAATTGAATGATTCGCCGAGACTATAATTTATGGACGATCTAATCAGAAATGTTTCAGGGAGTTCAAGGTCACGACACCAATTTCAGTACACGATGCTCACGTACGATTGGTTCACAGTGGATTTTAGAGAAAATGTGATAATTGAGCGACTACAACAAATTGGACTATTAAGTTCCTTTATTTGTGATTTTGGTAAGCACATAACATGTGGACCATGTGATGATGTTGTCTTACGATGTAATGTGTGTGCTAGGATATGACTCTGTTGGTCGATCCAAATTGAGAATAGGGCAAATTCTGACAATTGTTGCGAACTGGATAATAAAAGCACCAGTAACACTGGTTGCTACCAGGTACTAAGATATATACGGATGATTGGAGAGTGTACAGATACTTACATGGACTTGGTTATTTGCATCGTGTCGTCATCCACAAGTGATATTTTTTGAGCCTGACAACCGGAGTGCACACGAACACTATTGAAGCTATGTGGTTGAGGCTGAAAGTATTTTTGCGACCTTATCATGGCTCCAGATGCCGATTATTATGAAGTCATATGGATGATTCCCTCTATCGTATGCATTGCGATCTAAGAACTTTTGAACCTCTTTCTAGATTTGACAAATTTTTGAACCATTTAAAAGAAATGTATCCACTTTAATTCATTAGTTTTGTATAATATATTTTCACTTTATAAGAAGTGTTTTGTGGTTGGCTAATCTTTCTCAAGGTCACTTAAGATTCGTTCAAAGCTCGTCTATAAATTATAGTCTCGCCCCAAAAAAACTGGTAACAAGCTAAAAAGAAGGCTCTTTATCGATTAAATATCTTCATTTATTAATCATTATAACTGAGATATAATGGTCTGATAGATTTCTTTTTTGAGAAGACAATCATCTAAATGGTTAGCCTCTTATGCTTGAAATAGTATTTAACTGTTATAAGTTTTAGTAATAACTATTATAAAATACTTTGATAAAATTATACTGATTGTAGTATCTAATTTGATTGTAAAAGTTGTAGAATAGTAGAACTCCAACAAAATCATCCACCTGAGCTACAAATCTTCTCCACCATAGTAAAACTGAATTTTGGCATAAAGATTGTAATTTATAAAACAAACAGAATAATAGTTTACAATATCTTAGTAGATAATGTTGTCTGTTTAATAAGAGGAATAAGACGTTATTGTTGTTATGTTAATTTCTGATATTGTTACTATGATATTAGACACAATGAATTTATGACAATTTTAGTTATAATGATTATCACTGACAAACTCAATTGTTGTTTTAAAGAGTTTACACTTTAACTTGTTATATTTTTACAACTATAACGACTAAGAATGAATTCTTATGAGGTAATGTTTTGTATAGAATTAAGATAATATCAAGGATGAAGGGGAATTTCAGTTGCCAATTCATTCAGTGCAAATATATTCAAAAAGAAATTATCTCAATTGTTTAAACTGTAGATTGTACTGGATCATTGATTTCAGTACTGAATAAATTTGTGTTTGGTTCTATTTACTGTCATACTTTCAAGTTTTAATTCATGAAATATGAAGTATCAATATTTAAGTTGAATAACAGTTGATTGTTGTCTTTATTCTATTAACATGTGTAAAACTCAATTAAATTTATGCGAATGAAATATGAATTGAATATTTGACTTTTAGAAAATTGTATATTGCCTAATCTTGAAAGTTTTATTGAGCCTGGTAAGTTGGTGTCTGACGAAATCATGGAAGAGGTTCAGAATGCCAACATGATTTTTTTCCAGATTGCTTCTCTTGTAATGTAAGCAAGTTATCAGTGTGCTAGTGAAAGCCACAGTACAATTTGCAAAAGTTTGTTCTCTTTTACCTTATGGATGTAATGGGAATCCATAGGCTACTACTTTTCGATGACAGATATTATCAAAGCATTGGTACCACATCGTGGAACAAGGAATTGGCCAATACTAAGGTATAATAAGCAAAGATGGCAATTTGGTGGATACGGTTGTGAATCTTCATCAAAAAATATGGTTAGGACATAAATTAAATATGCTGAACTACATCATATCTTGGTGCTCAGTGCTGGGTGATGTAGCAGTAGGTTAAAAGAAACTTTGTGGAGTCGAAGACAAAACATGCAATTAGTTCATGAAGTCAATGAAGACTAATCTGTGTCATGTTGATAAGTAAACACTCTCTGGTTGGATCATATGCAAAGCTCATGATCAGTGATTGGGGTGTTATCTAGTGATGTAGTCTGAAATCGATCACAGAGAATATAGATCCGCTAACTCCTCGTTTACCTTTGGATCATAACTTTCAAAACTATTTTATATCTCGTATTCTCTTATTTCTTCTAAAATCATATTCTATATTAATTCACCATAAATCGTTTAGTTTTCACTTCATAATAATCTGTGAAGTCGTACCTTACATCAATTATCTCTTTATTTTGATCAGTTTACATTATACCCAGTTGTGCTAACTATATAGAAGTACTTACGGCGAGACTATAATTTATGGACGAACAAATCATGTATAAAATAACAGGTCTTAGATTTTGGCACGAAATTCATCCACGCATTTGGCTAGATAGAGTCTTGGTATTATAGCTGATGTCAGTTCATGATGAAAACCCTAAATCGAATTCTTAAGCTTAATCATCAACTATAAATCATAATTCTAATTTCTCACACAGGTTTATAACCTTCATTTGGTCCTGGTCATTAAGTGGACACTCTCAAGGTCATTTTTGCGTCGCTCAAAGGTCATCCATAAATTATAGTCTCGCTTACTCAATTATAATGTATAGTAGTACTTTTGATGTAATTTGTTTATAAAATCATTCTATTTAGGATCATTTTAATGTGATTCAATAGCTAATTACTTTGTTACAATGATATAAACAATTTGTAATATTAATTACTTCCAGTTAATTATTTTATTCAGTCTATTTGGTTAGCTTAAGGTAATAGATTTGTGATCCATTTGAAATATAGCTGACTTATAGTGGTAGTCTTATAAAACTTTGAATTTTTGATTCTATAACTGGTAAATTGTGTATTTCTGGTAAGAATAACATAGTACAGAATACATAAGTATGACACAAGCTCGTGTCCTACATATTCAAGGTTACATATACATATATAGTGAAGTCGGGAATGTGTACTATTGGGTGTCTATCTAGAGTTTTAGTGTCTTAGCTCTCGTCAACAGACCTAGATTTCCTGGGTCTGAACTCTGATGAAGCAATGATTGCTTACTTCAAAAGAGTCCTGTATTAAGTTGCATCATCTACCTGATATTATTTGATATTCTGAAGCACCCTAATTTAGAGTAGTCTGTTACAAATGTCACTCACAAACAAAACAAATATTCACAAATCTCCTTTATCAAAAATATGATTGGGATGTTTATCACAAATCGATATCTAAAAAATCACTGAAAAACAGGGAGTAATGGACAGTATTTGAATGATATTATGTTGGTAAAGAACTCTGAAGGATCGTTGATTTGATCTTTTATGGGGACATATAGGTATTTCCTGCTTATCTGTTTATTATTAGAGGGAGACAATCATCCAGTACCTCTTACCATTTAGTTTTCCAATTATTAGTATCAGTTTGTAATAATCTATTTATGCAAAATCTTTATAAGATTACCTAAGCCAAGAATAAATTAAATGTACCTTTTAATGAAACTACAACTTTTCAACTTATTAGTGTATGCTAATAAAACTTGGTCAGTGGATGGAGATTAAATCTTCTTAAGAAAATAGAGCTGTGTATTTGTACAGTTTGTAAATTTATTAAACCCTATATAAAATGTATATAGCAATAGTTTAAAAGAAGTTAAAATTGGCGGGAAGAAGTTTGGTAAAGTTAGACACTAATATTTTAGTATCAAAAGGGGTTTTTGTGGATATTATGGTAACTTTAGTAGTTGAGATCATGAGTCAGTTGAAGCTAGACCACCATGCAAAACCTGGGAGTACTGGACGACAGTTTTGTCTTATTGTGGGACTCCTCAGCTGTGTGCATCAACGATCCCACTTCTCAAGATTCGAACCCAAGATCTGTCGGTATTTCACGTGAACACTTAACCTCTAGAGCACTAAGCAGGTCACCATCCAATAATGTTAATTTCTACCTTCCACTAGTGCTTCCAGGTTTTCCATGGTGGTCTATCTTCAATTGACTCATGATCTCAACTACTGAAATTACTATTATTTTAGTTAATAACATTCAATGCAAATATTATGGCAGACAATAAAAAAGATCATTGAATGAGTCAAAAAATGATCATACATATATATAAGTGTAATCAATTTAAATAAAATCATACCTGTTAATATTAGATCTTTAGTACCTTCTTTCTGTTGAATAGGCATTGTAAGTGCTTGATGTGCCATTGTAGCGAATGGATTTAAAGCAGATGTGACCGGTGAAGGATAAGCTAATCAAATTAATTTTTATCATTGAATAAATGTGTTAATTAATAAATAATCTATACATAAATTAGCCTATCTGTATCAGTTTAAAGCAAAACAACGACTGAACATTCGAACAGATGTAATTGTTAGAATGTGCTAATAACTACCCACATATATATGTAAGGGTTATAAGGATAATTATTCTACATTTGAGAACATGCTTCGTCGTATTCACTAATTGATATTCTGGGCTGATTAAGCGCTTATAAAATGAATCAGATTGTAAATCATAATACAATTTACTATCAAATGAACAACTTTAAACTTCAGTATAACAATTTAAGGAGATTAGTCATTTGATAAAGATTATTAAGTTAATACAGATTTAAATATTATGTACTAGTTGGTTTGATTTTCAAGGTTAGTTGTAGTAGAAGTAAACCTTTTAAAACGGGAATAACTCAAAGGTTGACATGCACCCCTTTCATGTTACTGCCAACTGTATTTATAAATTTAAGAGTGCCTGCCAAAGCAGCTACATTAGCCGAACAGAAAGGAGGGCATATCTTAGATTTTTCGAATATGTTCCAAAAAACCTCAGAACAAGAGAAAGAAATACTCTAAACAGTGCAATCACCAAACATCTATTGGATATAGGACATCAGGTAGATATCTTTCAATCTGTCATGGTGATTAGTAAGCTGCCAAACTTCATTGGTTTGAAGTTTGCTGAAGCCGTTGCTATCAGGCGTCAAAAATCAAACTAATGTGTTCAAAAGGAAATGGTTATTAATCTGCTCTTGCTTTGATGACAAATATTCCTTCGCTACATCCTAAAATGTTTTTTTTCTTTTCCTTTAAACTCTTTCTTACATTTATTACATCATTGAGTTTTAATTCAACTATCTTCCAAATTAATAATCTTATTTTAATTAACTGGTCTCTATTCACTATATTCCTATCAATGTTTACTCAATTTATAATCACTTGGTTCTGGCCGTTTGTACTGTTGTCACAATCAATATTGTAGAATATTCTTTCACATAAGGTATATATATTTACAACATTCAGTCTATTCAATTTATTTCCACCCTTGCTATGCTATCCAAGTGTGTCTTCAATATAACTTCCAACCAAACCGTCTCATGTAAGTAATTTAAACCCATTCTGTAATTATAATTTTCTAAATATCACAGAATGTAAGCAACTGACGAGAGCCTAACGAAATAAAAATGAATTCATGCTATTCTATTAGAATCTTTGTTCTTGCTCTATTCAAAATGATAAAGGGCACCATGTGTATAAAATGATTAAAGTAATCAAACACAAACATGCAGGTACACTATCATCTTGAGATGTAAATCTCCTCTTTTAGATTGGCGAACTTTTACACATAACTCAGTTTGAGTAAAATAATTGAACATGATAAGGTTAACAAAGCTTTTGCCTTTAGTAATCAACCATGTAAAGTTTGATTGTTTGAAAGTCGATTCGTTAGGAAATATATATGCAAACTTTAATACTTCATAACCTTGCACTAAAAACAACATAATTTAACTGAAGTATAAATATCACTCTGTAGAAATCTAAATGTTTAGATCACAATACGTTGATTTTCATTGCTAATTTTTGTTGAAAATCGATAGCTTGGAGAACTTGGCTTGTAATATCCATTATCCATGAGTCACTGATTATACCTCTGAATAGACTTGATTGTGAAACCATTCAGCTTTTAATTATTTGATTCGAACATAGATACATTCACCATTATACAAGGTAGTATAGCTTAAAAACAATTATTTCAATAATGCTAGAGGAGAAGGTAATATGAACTTCACCTATAGGGAAATGGCTATGTTTTAAACAATTTTCAGCGGTATTATTCCATAAAAACGACACTTACATAATCCATAAGTTGGAACACTGGGATACAAATGGGAAAGTGCATCAGTAGGAAGTCCAGTTAATGGAGATGTTAATGTATTTAAGCCAAAAGAAGTATTTGAAACTACAAAAATAAATTAATAAATAGAAATTATTAATAAAACAGAAATTTTTATAAAGACTTATTTTATTTAGATGATTCTATAACTCATTTCCCAAGGTCGTATTAGGTTTTAATCCCCATTAGCACAACAAGAATTACTACTTCAGATGGTGGAGATTTGTAGCTCAGGTGGATGAATTTAATGGAGTTTAGTTCTCTGAGCTGGAATTATTTCTTCTTCTATCTGAAGTTTGTTCTGATGATGTCGTTCAGAAGAACGATGAAAGTTCCACGATCAAAACGTCCAGCTCAGAGAACAAAATTCCATCAAAACAGTTACTACTACTACTACCCATGTGTTACGTATACCTATGATCTTATAATTTTTAAATGAATATTCCAGCCCAAATGCAATTAATACACTAGCTGTTGAACTGAGATTGTTTGAAAAATAACTTGATAGCTGTTGCTTTCTATTCTAAAACTATTCACTAGTAAATGTCAACGATCTACTTTAGAATAAATTTCGTATCTTCTACGCTTCATAGCGCACATGATGAATACAATTTAGACCTCAAAGTCAGGAACCAGTGATCTGAGTTTCCGACTCCATTCAATTTAATTGGTGGGTGTTTTACCTTAAGTTCATAATATTTTGAAACTAACAAGTCGAAAATATTGAAAATCCATTTCACTGCTAGTCACTCGCAAATGCACCATAGTTGGATGAGATGTGAAGATTAGTTAAGCCTGGTCAAACGTAAATTCCAATGAGAAACCAAATCGGCTTTTGTAATAACTCTATCGTCGATAATAGTTCGCAACAGTAGGAAAAATTGATCATAATCGTATGGACAGAGGGATTTTTTAAATTTATCTGTTAATTAGTATCTAAATGACCCTGAGTGAGCTACTTATTCATGACATTTATACAAAAGCATACAAAATGTAAGTTTTAACTTATCTCTTGAATCGTTTACATCTGAATCATCCATACAATGTGTTCCTAATTGTTTAATTGATCAAGCATGCACTAAGAATAATTAATACTTTCTCACGGTCGGAATCACTAGTCGATCTATCCTAGACCATTATCATGAACCTCAAAACTGGACAGACGGTTCGTCATATCGAGGGACTCCTCAGAAGTGAAGACCCACGAATCCTCGTGTGGAACTCGGAATGTACTATGTGAGATGTCTGACACTTAATATAATAATAACGGTGTGATGCTGGACAGTGATAGACTTACTTGCTTGATTCAAAGGAAGAGAAACAGCGCCAAGACCACTGAGAGTTGCCGATGGTGTATGTGTCCCAGGAACTCCATGTAGAGCCAATGTATGACCACCAGTTCCGGGAGATCCTAAGCCTATTGTTTGTCCTGTCAAACCACATGTTGTTCCATTTGAATTCACATTCCCTGTCACATTCCCATTTGCCATAGCAACTACAGCTGCGGCGGCTGCAGCCATTGCTGCATTTGTACTGAGTGCAGCGGCGGCCGCTGCCGCTGTAGAGCTTCCATTATTAGTGGGGTTATTATTTCCTGTCTCTCCAGAAATACATGTACTGTTTACATTGGATAAAGCTGCCATTTGAGGTGATATTTGTGTTAGCTGAGGATTATTGCCGGACATACCAAGCACAGCGGCGGCAGCTGCTGCCGCAGCCATTGGATTTGTATGACAGTTAGGCGATAGATTAACAGTACCTGAACGTGGACTATGCAGTAGTGGAGCACAGCCTAAATGTCCACTGGAACCGTTGGTTAAAGCAGAAATCATTGCTAAATTTGTTACATTAGTCGGTAAGTTGACTGTAGCTAACTGACTGGCATGCTGAAGTTGTAATGCCAATGCAGCAACTGGATTTATATAACCTGTTGTTTGTGCCATATTCTAAATAAATCAAGACGTTTTTATAAAAATTAGTAATCAATTCTAAATTTGTTAATATAGAAAGTATTAAAATCTGTAGAAACTGTTGTAAATTAAAACAATGTTTTATTGGCTGTTTTATGGTGTGCTACTGATGTCGACAGATATAAGTAGTATGTATCATCAGTTCAAAGTGAAATACCTGGCGGTATAAGGTTAAGAAGATCGAAGAAAAGAGAAAGAGAACGGAGAATGATTGATGTGGAAACGAAAGAACAATAAAGTCTTAGACGATTGGCTGACATTCTGCAAATGAAGTATTTATAATATGGTTCTCAGATTTTACTAAAATGTTCTGTAATTTTGTATTCAAATACATTCGATTGTTCCCACTTGTGTTCTCGTTCACTACGATTTCATTATTGAACTATTCTGATAAAATGTAAACTGTTTAAACTCAAAATCTAATATTGTTTAATTACCGTTGTTTCACACAATCATCATTAACGAAATGACTTTATTTGATTAAATAAACATTTCCGAATTTATAAGCAATCACTTCAAATATTTAACTTTATAACTTGCCAGAAGGGGTTTTTGCAGATATTATGGTCATTTTAATGGTTGAGATCATAAGTCAATTGAAGCTAGACCACCATGAAAGACCTGAAAGCACTGGACGGCCGTTTCGTCCCAGTATAAGAATCCTCAGTGGTGCGTATCCACCATCCCGCCTAGTGAAATTCCAACCCAGCACCTATTAATCTTGCGCGCAAATGCTTAAACGCTAGGCCCTGAGAATGCCAACCCAATAACTAGAACCAAATGTGGATTATAAAACAGTTTGCAGAATAAGGATTATGATTTACATTTGATCGTTAATGTTAGGAATTATATTTAGGGTTTTCATCACGAACTGACATCAACTATAATGCCAAAACTCTATTTACCCAAATAAATAAATGAATGTCGCTCCACAATCCGAGACCTGTTATTTTGTACGTGATTCGTTCGCCCATAAATTACAGTCTCGCCGATATATTAAATAGCAGAGCTATTAAATGTCAAATAATCGGTATTATCTGTTATATCTTAGTGAAGATCAAACTACGGGTAACTTCTGAGAATTATTAATGGACTAATATTATATATATATATATATATATATATTGTATAACTGTTCAGTAGCTAGATTATGCATATCTATATTCCTGTTATTATAAGCTTCATTTTGACCTATAGATTATTATAGTTCTTAAGTTAAGTTTATTGATTACAATCTCCCACGTTCACGGCCACTTTTGCGTTTGATCTTGTACAAATGTTATTTCTTATTTTATGGTGCGATGCGTTCTGTCTTTCTGGTATATAAACCAAGTATATTTGAAATAAATGATTCGTACAGTGAAAGCTGACAATCGCGTTCTGGACTTAACTGGACGGGCTAGGCGAGCAAAAGACCAATAACTACTCCAGGCTTCTTATACCGATAGAACGTTATTGTTTTGGCACAGAACTAAGATTGTATAAGTCGTATTTCGATTGGCGAATAAATTACGTGATAACTAGCCAGGCTTAAAGTCACAACGTTATCAATAAATCATTTTCACAGAACTAAATATGAGAATCTTTTTGTATATAAATCATGACTACATATGCACTTACCTCTATCATTTGTGAATACATATTACCATTTAGTTGAGACAGTGCTATGGTTGGACTCAATAAACCCATTGGACCAATTAATTGTTGAATTTTTCTTGTATGACGTTCTTTTTCACTATCGGCAAATTTCACAACGATACTTGATGAAGCTCCCTGACATTATTCGTAATGTGGTTTTATATCGTTGGTGATGATGAGGTTTTAATTAACAAATGATGCCGATTCCAGAGAGGATGAATATTCAGACGTGGTAATATAAGAAAGATTAATCTTTACATTTCTATTCAAGTAAATTGAACTTCAATATATATAGCAAGAAAGAGGCGAAAGGATCCAAAATATGAAACCTGGATAGTTATACTTGACTGAACTAGCAACTCACCAATGGCGTAGGATAATAGTTTCGCAACATCATGGATTGATTAAGATTGGAAATCCAAACAATTTTGCATTGACTCAGTGACTTAAATATCAAGCCTTATTTATGAGATTTAAAGGTCCTGGGTTCAATCCATGTGGGTGGTAGGCACGTGGTTGCCAACTGTTAAGACATTGCATACCACCAGGATGAACTAGATGTACAGTGTATCCGGGTCTTCGATTGTAGACCAACTAAAGTCAGTTTGTGATGCAAACAGTAATATTTTTTCCGAATAATTTTATGTAGATCTACTGATAAACTTTATTGATTCATTTCTTTCGATAATCTAAAATTATGGTCAACTGAATAAAATTAGATTACTCATTTTCATAGTTATAAACGTGCTAAACTCAATGTTTTGCTATTCATTTTGTAGTCATGTGGCTTACTTGTTTGTACATGTGATCTATGAATATGGATTATAAAAAGTACTACAAAACATCAAGGTGTATCGAGTTCTCATTGAATTCCTGGAAAAGTGATATTTGGGAGGTGAGAAGGATGCACAAATAGCGTTCAAAGTTTTATTAGTTTCGGTGTCGATAAAAAAATAACATTTACCTTACTTGGAGATATGACCCAAAAAATCGTTGAATACTGAAATCGATCTAGAAGATTTTTGGGAACGATTTTTAGGACAACCTATGTGATGTTGGATATTCTAAATTTAAACAGTTTTGTAGATTTTGAGTGCTATGTAATCATGATTGTCTTGAAAACTAGTTTCTAAATCATTGAATCAATGATCATTAATTTTCTGTCAAATGATTATGAACATTTCACGTAAGAAAGCATATTAAACCATCCTATCTTATCGGTTGGGGTTAGGGATCACAATTTTATTGATCAATTTTGTAACTTGTTAATTATAATTGTTACCAAAATCTATTAGTCATGATACTTTTGGAGGACAAAATACTTTTCCATAAACACACACACACACACACGAGTATGTTGAAAACTTACCGGCATTGTTTGACTTCCATGTAGAGTAAGAATAGCGGATTGTGCTTCCTGTTGTGTAGAGAATTTTACAAACGCACACCCTTTATTTGAAAGAACAAAAGGAAATGTTTCTATGTCAGGTTTATAATAAATTAATTGAAATTATGGTTAGTATAATAATAATATCAGAAGGGTTCTTTGTGGATATTATGGTAATTTTAATCGTTGAGATCATGAGTCGATCGAAGCTAGACCACCATGGAAAACCTGAAAGCACTGAACGACCGTTTCGTCCCAGTATGAGAATCCTCAGTGGTGCTCATCCACCATCCCGCCTAGTGAAATTCCAACTCAGGACCTATCAGTCTTGCGTGAGAGCGCTTAACCACCGGACCACTGAGCTGGCATCCAATGGTATTAATATCTAACTTCAACCAATACACGAAATCGTGCCACCGTCCACCATTATCTTCAATGAGTTACTATCTCACAGCAGACCCTGATGAACTCAACTTGTCACTGCTTAATAATAATAATAATAATAATAATAATAATAATAGTAATGGTATTAATAGTATTAATGATAATATGAATGGATTTTACTAGCAGATGACAATTTTCCATGAACTCTGAATGTTTTTGTTTCGATTAGCTCGACTGAATTGTATTTTTAATTTTTGAAAAACTAGATTCCACTGCTAGCCACTATCCATCTTTTCTTATAATGCTTTAGAAATATGGCAATATCGAGGCAATACGCACAGAATACACTCATGTCAATAAGAAATTGATGAATTGCAGTCCTAACCATCAACTCGAAGATTCAATTAAACAATACCAAATGAATTAAAACTCTTGGTTTTAAACTCGTCAATACTAGATACCTATGATCTTTAAACGAGATCTAACCAACGATAATTGTGTCGCTCACAAAATATGATTATTTCAGATCAATAAGCCAAAAACTATTAGTTTATATTGTCGTATTCAATCAGTTTGTGGTACGGCTCACCGTCCTAACGCTATGTGATCGATGAGTAATTATCATACTCCTTAGACGAATTTTTTTACAAGTCAGTACGGAATTATTATTTGATAGGGTCAAGATTTATAATAATGACTGAAAAACTACTGAAAACTAAGAGTGGTAGATAATTGTTTCGTTTTAGTTTAGGGCTTTTTGGTAGTTCCTACTTACTGTCCAGCAAAGATTTTAACGTAAGATTTCCCATAATGAAAACTCAATTTGAATAATTCGATTTAACTTTTCATGGTGGTGGAATCGTGTTAACTAATAAACAATATTATTATCACGTTTGTAGTTTGCATCAATTACAAATTGTTCTGATTTGAGGTACTCTTAGAAACCAAAGAGCGCTGGGTAGTTATTTCAGCTTATTATGCCACCTGAAGGAACGGGCACCCATGATCTCACCATATTATCTCTCAATCAAATAAAACCATTGTGCTGATATCTAGTGGTACAATTTCATGTACAACAAAATACACATCTAGGACTCTATGGTTTCTGATGGCATCTCAAGTGAGATCAACATGTGACGAATACAATTTGCAAATTAAAAACCCAATCAACACAAAATCTCTTCAGCTATACAAAAAGCAATAATACTTTGAAAGAATTCAACTTAGCAATTAATTTGTAATGGATCATCATGAATAATTTACCTTTACTATTTCCACTTTGATCTCGAAGTATTGTACACTCTTCAATTGTACCAAATGGTTCAAATAATAATCTGACATCATCTTCATTTTGTTGTTTACTTAACATACCAACAAATAATTTACGTTCTTCTAAATAGAAATAATCAGTCAATAAAAAATAATGTAAAATGCTCATTTAAACATTAGGAAATTTACTAAATATATATTGAACGATCTGAACATTCAATATTTGTATAATTTCAACAAAGAAAAACAATTGATATTGTTTTACTTGAATCTTCCCATTAATGTTTTAGGACTGAAATTGATCAGTCTCTTATTGGCATATGTCCATACTGTGCGTATGCCTCGATATTACCTTAATTTACAAGCATTATAAGAAAAACAATTTTTAGGTTATTGTATTAACTATATAACATGTAACTATGGAAGCTTCTTCGACACTTCAGGGTGCCTGAAAAGATAGTCAATATCATACGGAATTCTTATGATGGATTAAACTGCAAAATAGTGAATGGATGAAAGTTTACACACTCGTTCGAAGTAAAGATCGGTGTCAGACAAGGTTGTTTACTCTCACCCTTTCCCTTTCCCCTGTGATCGACTGTAATGTAAAGACGTCAAAATCTGGAGGGAAGCATGGGATACAGTGGACAGCTAGGATGCAGCTGGACGATTTAAACTACGCAGATGACCTGGCTCTTCTATCGCACACGCAACAACAAATTCAGCAGCCTCAGCAGCAGTAGGTTTCAACATACGCAAAGAGAAAAGCAAGATTCTCCGATACAACACATCATGCACCAATCAAATCACACTTGATGGGGAAGCTTTGTAAGATGTAAAAACCTTTACATATCTGGGCAAAGCAGGAGCAGTATACCTACAACTGAAGGACATCTGGAACTCAAAGCAACTGTCAACCAACATCACGGTTGGAATTTTCAATACAAATGTCAAGACAGTTCTACTGTATGGGGCGGAAATTTGGAGAACTACGAAAGCCATCATCCAGAAGATACAGGTGTTTATTACCAGCTGTCTACGCAAAATACGTCGGATCTATTGGTCAGACACTATCAGCAACAACCTAGTGTGGGAGAGGACAAACCAGATTCCAGTGGAGGAATAAATCAAGAAGAAGCGCTGGAAGTGGACAGGACACACATTGAAGAAAGCATCCAAATGAGTCACAAGACAAGCCCTCACATGGAATCCTTAAGGCCAAAGGAGGGGAGGGAGACCAAAGAACACATTACGCCGAGAAATGGAGACAGACATGAGAATACTGAACAAGAATTGGATAGAGCTAGAAAGGAAGGTTCAGGGCTGTGTTGTGTTGGAGAATGTTGGTCGGCAGCCTATATCCCATTGGGAGTAAAAGGCGTAAGTAAGTAAGTAATATAACATGTTAATTTGTGAAGCTTCATTAATTTCAACTTCTCAATAGAACTGCAGAAATATTATCTTGAAGTTCGACATTAAATAATTAATTATTTTTATCAGTCTAATTTCATTATATTGTGAAGCTAATGAATATTCATCATGATACCCATTATCTAAGTAACATTATTTTCACTATCAATGTATACTAGACCACTATTGAAAATCTGGAAGCAGTGAAGGGCCGTTCCGTCTCATTTCGGGACTTCTAAGCAGTAAGGATCTATGATTCCACACGCAGGACTTGAACCCAGGGACTTCGATTTTGCGCGCGAAAGCTTAAACTCTAGATCACTGAACCAGCATTCAACGGTAATAATGTCCCAATACTAGGACGAAACGGCCATTCAGTGCTTACAGGCTTTCAATTCTGGTCTAGCTTAGATCGACTCGTGAATTTAATCCTTAAAAGTACTACAATCTTTACATATCCCCATACTGATAAACACCATGAAACAAATCTATATATCATTATATGAACTCAGTGTAGTATTGAAATAAGTTTTTTAATTTCTCATTGTCCATTAAAATATCTTTATATTTTTGGTATTCAAACAATAACAGATTCTCTTATTAGTCATTAATTATAGCATATTCCATTTACATGTATTATTATTGTTATATATTTATATTCTAGATTTTATGTATTCTGATAGAAAATTGAATCATCACCGTCGTCGTCGTCGTCATCATCATCATTTTATACTTTACAATTAGCTGATAAATTGGTTGTTTGCGAGAACAAACTATGTTGTTATTCAATCTCATGTAATAATTGTGTAATAATATCAATATTTAGAGAAGGGTTTTGTGGATATTATACAAATTTAATAGTTGAATTCATGAGTTAATTGAAGATGGACAACCATGGAAAACCTGGAAGCACTAGTCCTAGTACGGGACTTCTCAGCAGTGCATACCAATGATCCCGCCTCGCGGGATTCGAACCCAAGACCCGTCAGTTTTGCGCGTCAATGTTTAACCTCTAGACCACTGAGTGTGTGTCCAATGGAGTTAATGTCTAACATCAATCAATCCACGAAATTGATCCACCAACCACCATTGTCATAATATTAAGTTATAATTAAAACTCATAGATTAGGAGGTTTCTGAATATCTCTGGCGGCTCGACACAGTTTGAGCCAAATAATCTTTATTTTTAGTTTAAACCTACTTGTCAATAATCCTTTAAAGGTATTAATTATGAAAGTTACCAAATTTCCACCGTATACTTTAACACATTTAACTTGAGATTGTTTTTACCACTAATTTTAACTATTATCTTTAATTCAGTAAACAAATTTGTATACAAAACAATTTTTCATCTTATTACAAGGTGGAAATAGCATCGGAAATTGATGTAATAAACATTACGTAATTCCCAAAAATCATCTAATATAAAAAGACAGTACACAGTAGTAACGTCTCGTACTCTCAAACTTGGTGACATGAGTTTAAATTACACTGGGATCATCATTTCTTTCATAGATCTGATTGTATCACGGTGATAAGCATGTAATTTCAGTTCAGGGTTTCTTGTCGACTACCATCATCTTATTAACATCAAAGCTCTAACTACCATAAATATTCATTGTCATAGTCATGCATGTTGCCAGTGAACAATAATGAAATTTCCCACATATGTTACGTCAGTTATCCAATAAACAACAACTAAATTAAATTTCGCAATCATTGAAAGTCAACTGGTAGGATTTTATTAGCCTTACATTGTATGACAGAGTATATTAAATGTTATGATAAGACTGTTATCCATACTCTTAAATGAAAATATCTTATGAACTAGTTGGTGCGTAATCCTGTTCAATATCTGTCACCCAAAGGTATTCAACTTTATTATTCAGCATCATAATACTAAATCATGATAAAATAGAATGTGTTCGTTTTTTAGTTTGTCAGACCTCCGTCAGTCGACACCTTTCTGATATTCGTCAGCAAAATTATAAAATTAACTTTATATAAATCAATTCTACATCATACACATTAAATTCTGTTACCTGGATCTAACAAACCTTATGTAGAACTATATGTATATTTATGTTTACTACTAATGAACTAAAAGCATTCAACATCACACTAAATAAGCTACGATTAGCTTTATACTCAGATTGAATGCTTCGGTTAACCGATTTTGTTAATAATTTAAAGTAATTGAACACAGGCTTCATTCTTATCCTGAAGTAAATTCAAACAAATAATCCTATCTTACGTAAATTAGTTTGTGGCTTGTATATCTTATTGTTAATTTATCTGTTGAAGCTTCCGATACATCTAACTAAAGACCGAAAACAAGCATGAGACTACGGTGGTGATCAATTTCAAGCATCTTATAGAAGCGGAATACTGGTTAAAGCGCTGACCGTCCAAATAGTGGGTTATAAGTTCAATACTTGGTGAATTATTGCTTTTAAAGCGTGTATCAGAAAAGTGTATTGTTAAATAAACTATTAAAGTTGTTTATCAATAACAGATTGTAGATATAACGGATAGAGCAAGACTATAATTTATGGACGAACAAATCATGTATAAAATAACAGGTCTTAGATTTTGGCACGAAATTCATCCACGCATTTGGCTAGATAGAGTCTTGGTATTATAGCTGATGTCAGTTCATGATGAAAACCCTAAATCGAATTCTTAAGCTTAATCATCAACTATAAATCATAATTCTAATTTCTCACACAGGTTTATAACCTTCATTTGGTCCTGGTCATTAAGTGGACACTCTCAAGGTCATTTTTGCGTCGCTCAAAGGTCATTCATAAATTATAGTCTTACTACGGATAGTTTTAAAATCACCGTCCACATTTGATTATTGTATTATGGATTGTCATTAGATGAATGTAGGAGCCATCTTAGAATTAATTAAATAAATGAATTCAATTTTGTTCAAAAAACGATACATAGTGAAATAATCTGAGTGTATGATTGTTTGTCAGAAAACTAAATTATTGTCATAAATGCTTAAATTAACTCAAATCAACGATAAGACTACTAGACAGACATTGTTCTTTAGTAACAGGTGAAACATGATTAAACTTCGTAAACGATTAGTTAGTAAGACGTTAATACATCACCCCAATGGAGTTACTATCTGGTTATCATATCATAAACAGTATGATCTTAGAAAACATCACTTTGTTCTATTCTTTCTACAAACTATCAATGAAACCTAGTCTTCAATCATGCAAACATTAATAAAGATTCGGTATGTTGATTATGAATTGAATGATCACATCATTTACTAAGCATTTTAGATTCGTTTGGAAATATTGTGAGTTAAATACACCAATTATTTATGTTCATTAAGAGCAAAGGGAATGATATTTACCAATTTCTAAATCTCTATGGTTAAAATATTCTTTAAGTCACGTTAAACCGCTTTTAGTTTGTGAATAATATTTTAGTGAATTTTACTATATTACTGAAATCGAGTTATAATTTAAGTGAACTTGAAACTTTGTGAACAACAAACACATAGATGAATTAAATTAATAGTCTATTCAATCAGGAGAAATGAAGTGAATTGTGTACATGGTTTTTATGTTTATGAAATGTTACCAAGGGTTTTTCATCAAACCAATAAACTATCTGGAAAAAATGAAGCAATCAGATATATGAATGGATATAAAAGTTTTTCTAAGGTTGAATGACTGTGCAGGAATGAA